GGGGGGCAGGAAAACTTAAGATGGCATGCGGCTATGCAGAGGAGAGATGCACTTGAGGATGGCCTCAAATTAAACTGCTCAGACTTGAGAGGGCAGTTTGCGGTTCACGCTTTGACCAACGTAAAGATTATTGACCAAAAAAAAAAGAACACATTTTAAGTGATGCGTTTTAAACGGTCTGAGAATTACATTAAAGCACATTAAAATATGAAATGCTGCAGAAATGTGCTTTGACAAAAAAGGGTGGCTAACAAAGGGGGGTGGGGGTAAGAATGTGTGTGTGTGTGTGTGTGTGTGTGTGTGTGTGTGTGTGTGTGTGTGTGTGGTTAACCATTGCCCCCTACTGTTCAACATTTACCAGAAAGCATAGCTGCTCACAATTTACAATGCGGCCCACGTCGGTTCTCTCAAGCCTCGGCTTGTGCCGCTCCCCAGCTTCTGTCCCTCCTGTGCTAACCTGCCATGACACGCCATCCCCTGGGGGTCGCCACTCCTTCATTCACAGCATGCCTTTTCCCCTCCATTTCTTTCGCTCTTTTGTCTGCACGTTACCTTTTAAGGTGGTGCAAGCCCTATAGCCGAGGTTGCGATGGGGGCGGGGGTCTGCATTGTGCCATGACACCAGGCGCTCTCGGTCGCCACTGAGATTTCAGGCGGGTCACGGGGAGCAACGATGATGATGCATTTGAAAGTGCAGTGACGTGACTGCGAATGTGCAGCGGTTGTCAGGCAAAGACAAATTTCCACTGGCCTACATTTGCCGTGGAGAAATTCTATGCGGGCCAGGAACCAGCTTGTTCAGATGTGCTCATAAGCACATGTGGAAGACATTAGGGGAGGGCGGGACGGAGGGGAGGGGAATGTGGGTCAAACTTGATGTGCGGCACATTTGAAATCGAAGAGGAAGTGCTCTCGGCCAATGGGCAACCGGCGGAGGGGTGCGGAGAGACCGCCTTGCCAATGCTGAAGCATCGGGGAAAGTGGAAAAAAAAGGGGGCGGGTTTTGTCGAAGTGTGTCAATTACATAATAAGGCGCCGCCCTGGTCGCCGCCCAAGCAGACCGTGGAGCTGTCTGACTCAGGGTGAAATGCGGCAAAATGAAGAAATAAAAGAATCGTACTCAACGAAGTAAACTACCAACTAACAATGGAAGTCAAATTCACATGAGGCTTTTGCAAAATGCCCGCAAACAAAAAGCCATCGCCTTTTCAGCCAATCTGCTCCAAAGAGAACATTTTAAACAAATGTTGTGACTACCATTTGCAGCTGCTGTGCATGAAGACACTACCCTGACTAAAGGATGTTGCGTGTGTGCCTTTGCTGAAATGATGTGCAGCTGTGCAATGAGCACGCGTTGTTCTCAAAAAGTAAAGGGCTCCACCTACGGCTTCAAAGGTGAAACTGCGTTAGGATTACCGCGCACATGGTACTTTTTCATCCATACATTTTCTATACTGCTTGTCTTGGGTGAGCCGCAACCGACCCCGTGTGACTTTGGGCAAAAGATTGGTCACCTGGCAAATGTTGGAGGAAAAAACAAACAAAAAAAAAAAAACGACTATTCACATTCAGACCTATGGAAAATGAAATTGTCTTGAATTACGCCGACAAGAACGCTTTGGGGAAGCCGGAGTACCAGGACGCACTGGAGAAAATAGACAAATTACACACCAGAAGCTGTGTAATGGTTTCTGTAATGGCTAACACACCATCAGGAAGAAGTCGATACAGACAATAAAATCTACTCATTATTGAAGAGCCGATTTGCATTCCTGGACAGAAAAAAAAGCTCAAATTGTCGCAAACACTTTTCATTTTTTGCTGCCAAGTTTCAGGGAGCAATTATTTGTTCACATCGGGAAAAGTAGGCTTGGATTTGTTTTTTGTTCCTTAATAAATTCAATTGGCATTTAGAAACTGCTTTTTTTCCCCCCAATGATTGTCTCGGTGGAATATTAAAATTGGTTTGAAGAACTGAAAGTTTTGTGTGTGGTGAAAGTGAGAGGGCTGGTAGCTATCAATGCGTATCAATGCAAAGAACACAAAAATCAGGAAGTGGGCAAGTACTTTTTCACGGACCTCTATGTCGGAATGCAGAGCTCGTCTACAGACAGTTGCAACAATGGGGGGCCACGTGCACATTTGATCCAGATAAAGGTGATTGAGAAACCGAATTGCACTGCCCCCGCCTCAGCATTCCTCAGACAGCGGGGGGAGGCAGTGATAAGAGGCGGCGACCTCTCCAGATGGAACCATTTGGTGCCCATCAATCCTTGCTCTCACACATTGGTTGACCTCTGGCCCCATCGTTATTCTTGTTGGACCTCTCACTGTCGGTACGTTTGTTCAGAACGGACCAAAACATTCACGTCGTCTCCGACTTCATTTCGAAAATTCCTCTAAACAACTGAGACAATATAACAGGCAGGGGCCGGCCGGGGTGTATTTCTCATTGAACGGAATTCACCTTCATCCGATTGATTGTTCAAACTCATTTTGGCCTCGGCGCAACTTCCACACACCGTACGGTATGAACGAAGCAAATAAAGGACTGACCTTGCGGCAGCGAGGATTGGGGCAGCTAAAGAGAGACATGTCTTTGTCCAGCAAGGCTGGAAAGTTGCAGAAGGGACACCTGGGGATGGGGGGGAAGTGAGAGGACTGTTAGGTATCTCCCCAGCACGAGTTGAATTAAAACAAAGTAAAAGCGATCCAACTTGTCTTGTTTGGTAGATGGGTAGCGTCACGGCCAAATCACTAAACACATGACAGTTTGCTCCCGGTGGTTCACGCGTGTTGACAATATTAGAGTGGAAATACTCATGAAGTGCAGATTAACGCATCCAACGTTATGTCTCATCTTTCTTATCGGCGCTGTACTGACAGTCGCGTTCGCAAGACTGAATGTGAGGCGCCACCCTTGCGGTGTTGCCATCGCAAAAGCCTCATTCACGTGGGACGGCAACAAAGGCGCTATGACGTCACTCTTACCTTACGAGTTCATCTGCGCAGGTGGCGGCGACGGCCTCCTCCGCCTGCCTCTCGTAGTATTTGCAAAGGATGTTTTCTGGTAGGACTTTCTCCAGTTCGCAGACCGGGTACGAGCAAAGGCAGCCCGACTCCATGCAGCTTAGCTCTGACTGCCAAGAGAATGCATATGCGTACACAAAGTCATTGAATTTAAAAAAAAAAAACAATATACTACAACTACACACACACATCAAATTCCACAATAAGAATGTTCAAACTTTATTATTGTTCAGCAACAGCGATTTGTAATTTGCTACAACAGGGAATAACTCCAACCCCATTTATCTGACATACTTCTGATTTAAATGTTTTTCCAGTGATCACAGACAGTCACATTTACTAAGACAAACTAACTTCGACACTCCTCTCCAAAAGTATCGGAAAAGTCTTGGAACTGCGGCGAAACAAATGTCTTTATTTTTTTTCCCCGTAGACTGAAAAGGATTTGGGAATTAGTTTGCCATTGAAAGAGGAAGATGAGACAAGAGAGTCTGTTGTCTACACTCAACAAAAATGAGAGACTAAAACTACTTCGACACAATTAGACAAATGTGGAATTTTTAGGAAAGCTGTCAACATCATTTCAGTAAAATAGAAAAAAAAAATAGAATTGGCCATGATTTACTTCAGTTACGGGTTGTATTCCACTGTGACATGCATGTCGTACGTCTATGGTTCCTGTCAACCCTCCTAACAATTTATTCTTGGCATCAAGGACGTACCTTTCCAGAGCCAAACACGGCCTCTTGCGCATATTTGACGAGGCACTCCTTACAGAACAAATGGCCGTCCGAACACTGTGTCATTTTCTCAAAGGCAAACTCTCCGTAGCAACAGCCGCACTCAATCAGCTGGCCATCCTGGACAAACGATCAGCAATCACTGATGCAGTCATGTAACTTTATGGTTGCAAAGTCGCAGATCAAGTCAAAAGAATCTTCAGGAATTATCAGCAAATGTACTTCTCTTTCTACGGAACTAAGATGAAACAAAAAAAACCTACTTTCTTATATTCATCTTCGTTGACTTGCAGCGCCAGGAGGAAGTCCTCATGCTGGAAAGAGGACAGCAAAAAGAAAAGACCTTGAATCACGTTTAAAACTACAAAAACAAATGTGTCTGAGAATACCTCGGCCCATTCCTTGGCTTTCTGTTGGAAGAAGGTAAGCTCCTTTTGTAAAGAAGCTTCCAAGTTGCTGTACGTCCTGCAGTAGCGTCGGCCTTTTTCCAAAAAGTACATCCTCTTTTCAAACTTTACCTGACCTGCAGCACAGAGAGGGAAAGTTCCCTGATACAGTGCCATGAAAAATTATTTGCCCCCCCACCACCCCTCCTGATTTCTTCTCTTTTTCTTTTTTTTTTTTTTTTTTAATATCTCACACACTACAGTTTCAAATCATCAAGCCAATTTTAATAGATTTTTTATTTTAATAATATGACAATCCAATTTATTAAGGCACAACATCAAAAAATAATCTATGGTTTGAAATCAATTCACACACACACTCACACACTTTTTTTCCTCACCGTGCTCAAAATGGAAATCGATGTAGCAGCGTTCAGTGGACATTCTGCTTCGTCTTCGCTTTCCTGAGGAGTCGCCTGATTCTTGAAACTTTTTCAGAGCTTCAAATAAGGCCTAAGAGACGGAGTGAGGGAGAGAGAACGCTGATCATACACTCACCAAATCAGAATATCACATACATTTACGCATACAGAACTTGAAGCTTTGTTGATGAAACTTGCTTTTGTGAGGCCACAAAACAAAAATGTGAGTCCATCTTCCATCAAATCGATTTTTTTGTTGTATTCCTTAACAAAAGCAAAACATTTAACCTCCTGGCTTTTGGAAGAATAAGAGTGACCTAATGCTATGGGGGCTAAACAATAAGCACCTTGCGTGTGATTGCATAGTGTCCTTTGAGGGCATTGAGGGCCCATTTGATGTCTTGACAACTGATCATCCGGAAGTCTGCCATAAGCAAGTCGGCAGCCTGTGTCATTGTCTCCGGACCTACCGGGCCCAGCTTGTCGTAATCAAACAGATCCTCCGTTACCTGAAAAGATACATCATGGTAAAAATACATCAGACTATAATCATCGCGATTAGGTTTGGGTGTTTTGTTACAGTGTTACTTTATAGTGCTTCAATTGGGCATGGTAATTTTTTTTCACAATTCAAAAGAGTTCCCGGGTCTTTTTATATAGCGCACAGCATACTTGGCACACAAAATTCTTGCCTTCTTGAAATTAGCCTGTTTGCGGGTGCGGCAGGACCACATTCAGTGACCTGATTACTTGTATACAGAGGCACAGTTACCTCCGTGTTACTGTCTCCAGACTCCAGTAAGATGCTGGTGGGAGCTACTGTGGCTGCAGCAGCCCCTGTCTTTGGATATTCTGGGTTCTCCAACAGCAGGTTACAGATACTTAAAAAAGAAAACACACACACACACACACACACACACACACACACACACACACACACACGCACACACGCACACACAGACAGAGGAAAAGTGCATGTAAACATGACTGTGCACCCTACGCAACTTATAGTAAGACGCAAGGATGATCTTGCAGTAGTAGCTGCCAGACAATATTTGTGAAACAGTGCAAGCTGCCGCGAAAATAATACAAATGACAAACGGTCTCCGTAGATTGCGCTCTCACATTTAGCAGAGCAGCAAATCACTTCAGAGCCGCAGACTTACACATTCAGGTCTTCCACATAATTTGTTCGGATCAGTTCTGCTACATAAGCTTCTTGGACATTTGGAAAGAGATCCAACTTGAGAGAGAGAATGAGAGCGAGAGAGAACAACAAAAAAAAATTAGGCCATTTGAACGACAGAGAAAATGACAACTAAAGAGGTGTCCGTTATTACTTACGACACCCCGAATGAGGGTTCTGATGTGCTGCTGCAGCTCCAACCTCTCATGCGGCTCGGATGGACCAGGCCTGGCATCCTCTATTCTGGGAAAATCTTCAGGATCAGGAGGGAAGGCGACCAGACCGGGGACTGGGTTCACCCTCTCTGGGTTTGGGCCGAGATCCAGATTCTGATGCATCTGTATTCTGTTGTGGGGAACCAAAACTGCTGGAGCTGGCCCAGCAGGGTGGTTTAAATTCTCGTTGATGTGGGCTTGCGGAAACGCACTCGAGGTGCCACCCAGTGGCCGAGGATTGAACCCGGCCTTCCCAGCTGCCTGGCTGCCGAGCATAATTTGGTGGCCCGCCTCTGGAGGTCCCAGCCTCTGAGGTGCTGCAGCTATAAGCACTGCAGACTGGATTCTAGGCGCCACTCGATGGGTCGGGGGTGCCTGGGCCGGAGTCTGGGCTGGAGCCTGGGCAAGGGGGTGGGGTTCAATCTGAGTAAGATTGCCACGCATGGGATGCAGGACAGGCTGGGGGGTCGTCTGCGCTTTGTTCTGTTGCTGAGGCTGCGTGATCAAAGCGAAGGCTCGGATGACAGGGTTCAACTGCTTCTCCTGGAGAAGCTGGGCTACTAGTTTCGCTGACCCGCTCGGCTGAAATTGCGTCGATGTGCTGGCTTTAGGCTGCGGCTCTGCAGACGAAGTGCTTGCCTGAGGATTGTCTTGAACGCTGGTACTTTTACATGCCCTTTCTTGAGACGTCGTGGAGGCAGGAAATGTCTTTGAAACAACACCGTGTGACGTGCTTGGCTGTGGCCGAGCTAATAATTGTCCCGTGGAGCAAACCGGTCCAGATGTGCTAGGCTGAAGGTGCTCTGCACCTTGTGTGACAGCTGGAGCGAGTACGGAGGTAGATTGGGTTTGAGTCGAAGAATCGACTCGGGCCTCCACCTTTATCTCTTGTGGCGTCCCAGTTTGTGGCTGCTGGGAGTTTGTTATTGGGTTTGCTTGTGTGAGTACGGATGTTCGAACTGCAGATGTGTGCGCAATAGCGTCTCTGGAGGTGGAGGGGGCAAACGGGTCCCTCATAAGAGCCCCAGAATTTGCACCGACTTTGCTCAGGTTTTGCGAGGCCCCACTCCACTTTGCCGCCGGTCGTATTACATGTCTGCGCGCAGGAGCTCGTGGCTGGGAAAAGGAGGTTGCAAAAAAGTCAACATTTCAATAATTATACTAACTTGAGCCAATATTAATGATAAACCGACAAGAAAATATGCACACTTAAAATGCAACCAAGTTTTGACATCCTGGGTTGAGGTTCCCCTTGAAGAAAGAATTGTTTCTCACTTACCTCTAGTATGCTGACATCATCATCTCCAGCAGCATCGTCATCTGGAACTAATACAGGACTGCGAGGTACCAAAGTCACAGTTTCCTCATCAGAGTCATCAGAAATGGTGATCAGCTCCCTCTGACGGCCGCTGGAGCCTAAACAAACCCGTTCATTGACATTGTTAGACATGCTGGAGAGGCAATTTTGAAACAAAATGTCATGAGGAATTCAGATTTTTCTTTCATACCGTTTGCTTCGAATGTTTTGGGCCTAACTTACCTTGACTTCGGTGGATGTTGAAACTTGCCAGGTGAATGACATCGTCATCACTGCATCCATCTGCCATGATGATACACAATTGGCCAGCCCCTTAAATTGTCTGGTTAGACAGTTGCTGCTTGATTACACCATCTAGAACGCACAAAGCAGTTCAAGTACAGTACTTGGTTGGGAGGGTTACTTTCACATAGTTTTCCGATGCAGTTACTTGTTAAAAATGTCATTAGTAACATAATCCAATTACCATATTATTACAATGATGGATATTCTCATGGTGATAAGATAAATAACACGACTGTATAAAACTGGATATAGCTGTCTGGTAATTTTGGTCTTATGTATGCTTAATAATATGCATGGTTTTGGAGGAAGGAGGAAACTGGAGAACCCCAAATTTAAATAATACATTTCCAGACTGTTCGGCCGACATGCTAATCATTTGTTCACAGTTGTGAGGATGGATGGATGGATGGATGGATGGTCAGTCTGACAGACACTTTATTATTCATACAGTACTTGGTCCAAAACAGTGTGTGTTATAACGACTGAAATGGGAAAAAGAGGACATATTTGTAGCAGTAGATTATGACCGCACGTCACACATGGACTGGTGGGGGCAGACACACCATCGAGTAATTCTGACAAGACGCTGATGACGATACGTGACATCATGAGTCCGTAACGCCGGTACATGTTTTCCGTTAAGTTTATCTTACAGGAAGTGATTCGTCTCTCGGGAATTGGCGTCACTTACAAAATTCCGATCTTGACGAATGTTCATCATTAGTAAGATGAAGCGATCAGAACCCAAGCAACGTCGCCCGCGGAGGCTGGGACTTTGACTTAAAAGACAAAGACTAACGCTTAAGTTCTAATATCTGTCTATGTTGTACGATAAAACAGAAATGACTATCAAAGCTACTAACGATGTCCAGCTGATAAGAGTGATATATGAATTCAAATTGGCGATCTGCTGACATTAGCGCTAACGTTCCAATAGCATCCGTGCGTGGAGGAAGCCGCCGTGAAAAAGACACACATTTAAAAAAAAAAAACAATCGATTATTTTCGCGCAAATTAAGTTTAAAGACAGGGAAAAGCAATGCGGACAGCTAAGCTAACGTCAATTAGCCCAGCTAACCAGCGAGCTAGCCAGTAGGGTAACTAGTTAGGGGACTTCCAAATTAGTATTCACAACAGTGTCTCAAACCACGCACGTGCTGTATAGGATCAAAGAGTTGGTTAGAAAGATAACAAAACATGACAATACCGCTGCTTCTTGCTGGAATGTCAATACCAACGGTCTTCTTTGTGGACTGATAGGACGCGGAAAAGCCAAACAAGCAGCAAAAACAAGAGCATAGGGGAAGTGAGTGACGTCATACGTACAAAGCCTGGTGACAGTAATGGCGTCCTGGTAAATGTAGTCCTCAATTGTGGCCCTCCGAATTTTGTAACAATGTACACAATTGCTTCGACAAAGCTCACGGTGTAATTAGCATCAGCACACTTATTAATTTAATGGCTATTCCATTTTGATATCCTTGCATCATTCACACAGTTCAGTGGAAATTAACTGATGAAAATCTTTCTAAATCCAGCGATCGCGTCGCCTGTCGTCACTTGTCTTCAAATACTTTATTTGAAAACCACTTCTCTCGCCTCAGTGAAGTCTCGGCCCTGAATATATTAATAGTTTTTGAAATGTCTTCCTTTGTAATATCTGACTGTAATTTATAAAACGTGATTGCATCGTGAGGTTTTGTTTGCACTATTTTCCTCTTCGTGGAATAATAAAACTATCTTTGTTAAATGCGTTATTTTTCCCTTCATGGAATCATAAAAAGTGTTAAATGGGCACCACAAAAAAAAAAAATCTTGACGCTTACAAATCTTTATAAAGCAGAACAATTAATCACACAACCCAAGGACATTTTTAATGTAATTTCTTTTAATATAATCTTATTTACAACGTATTTTTCATATATGTTTTAGCACATAGTAAGTTTCCATACTCTTGCATCCATTACACAGTGAACGCAGAACCTAAAAAAATGCAGATTGAAACTAATCTGCCATAACAGTCTTCAATCGACAGTGAAGCCCAATGTTTTCCCACATTTTTCACTTGAGTTAGCTTTTTTTTTTTTTTTTAATCATTAATTCATTCACATCTGTGGAGGACTGGTAATAGTAAAGAGCGCTTGTTCATTCATGGCTGCCTTGAGGTTAATGAGTACTCGACAAAGGGCCGGAGTAAAATGGACAAAACATCAGGGCTGCCAAAGAGGAACATTTGAGAAGTTGATATTAAAACATGAGTGAAAGGCTTGATTTTTTTTTTGGTTCTTTCTGAAGCTGACTCCTCTTTTTGCATTTCCTCGGCTCATTTAGAAATTAACCACATCACCCCCTCCTGACCTCTCAGTAGAGTGAAACTTTAAAATCAGGGCTTGTAAGGTTGATCCCTTTCTCCTCAATAAACATACCATAGCATTCATAGTTTACATACACTCACAAGAATATTTGCATCAATATGCATGTTAAAAAAAGTAAAAGAAATTAATCAAAAACCACTTGGTGGATTACTTGAATTGGAAGTGAATTGACCCTTCCACTCAGCGAGAGGGTATGAAAGGATTAGTGTGAACTCTTTGTAGAGCATACAGTATATATTTAGAGAGAGAGAGAGAGAATGAAAGAGAGCAGCTTGGTCAGTAATCACTTAGTAATAAAATGAGAGAGAGAATGAGAGAGAGCAGCTTGGTCAGTAATCACTTAGTAATAAATAATAAAACATTAGAGAGGATCAGAGTGGTTGCAGGTACGTACAAACGGAACAGACAGACATTAAGTAATCCAAAAGAGGAGCAGGCTCATTTGATCGTTTGGCAGCGTGGCCAGGTGCCATGCCACACCCACCCACCCACGCTGGATGACATGCACACATACATACGTTGACACATTCGGAAACGCGACATTGGTCAAAGTGACCGCATGAGTACGAGTCAGTCAATCAGGATGTCTCACACACTTACACACGCACAGACACACACACACATCACAGTCAGCCTAAGCTTTGTTTTCCATCCAGACATCATTGCACCATGTCTGTACGATGAGTGACAAGTTCGCTGTGGCTGTAGACATTCCAAGGAGTTGACATCATAGTTTGTTCAAACCAAAAGATAAAAATGCTTCTTCAAAACATTTGAAAAGATCTTAAAATACTTTTGTTCAGGGCTTTTTTTTTTTTCTTCCCATTTGACTTCCTTGATGTGCTTTCGCCTTCAACTGCCAACGGTTCGGGCGGCGTCGGGCCGGAACTGCGTTCTCCTCACGCTTGGCCGCCAGCCATGCTCTGTGCATTCTCCATCTTCTTTCTGTGCATGTTGTGTACGTTAAAATTAAAGTCAAAGAGTTGAATGCAAGTGCAAGCACAAGTGTGACTGTGTACGTTGGTTTGGTTGTGGGGCCTTTCACTCCACAGCGAAGCCGCAGGTCTCCTCCACAGCCGTCAGCAGTTTCTCATAAAGTTTCTCATAAGACTCGTAGGGTGGGATGTCTATCCTGTTGAAACTAGACACAGAGAAGGGCAATTAGCGAAACCAAGCTGGACCACTTCTTTTAAGAGCTATTTGTTGGGTCCGTTTGTTGTGTCTTTACCAAGTGTGCGCCTTGGGCAGGTTGTCAGTGTTGGCGTCTATCAAATGGATGGTAAAGAGTCTTGGTCCTGCAGAACCTGTAGAGCCTTACACATATACATTCTAGTTATCACTGCTCTATACTGCTGCACAGAACAACATTTCCGGACGTCTATTTTCTTAAATCATCAGGCGCGCTGTCGTAAGTTTCACTGAATTGGTTGGTAAATTCTCATTTATTCACTACAAATAATGCATCTGCGTGCCAACAATATATAGTGAGCAAGAAAACAAATTAAAAGCTTATCCACTAGAGGGCAGAAAGCACATTTAAACTGTGCATCTACCTGTTGCCATTCATACAACAGAGTAATAGCTTTGTGTTCAGATAAACAGGCCCAAATTTCACCCTGAACCCTTTGAGAAGAGATCATGATTTCATGATACTTTTTGTGACAATTTTGAGGGGGGCATGTGGTGATATTTCTTTCATGTACAGTAAAATGAAGTGCTTCGGCTCGAAAAAAGGTTGACTGAAAATATTCATCAAGAAATAACTGCGTACCAGTGCCTTGTATATTCTTGTAGAAAGCGCAAGGCATAGGCTATCCTTTAATGGATACTTTAAATTTCTAGTGAAAGGTGTTGTACATGAGACAAAAAAAAAAGAAGGTGTGCGTGTGGCCCACTGAACCAGTGCATGACCCACCCTGCAGTGCTTTGAACCCCTGCAAGGGGACCCGGGTGGAGCCCGTGACAAACTGCAGCAGGCGTCCTCTCCTCTCCTCACTGAAGGCCTCCACTGCCTGCCAGAACCACCGCACCACATTGCTCTCACTTGTACAGTGCTTCAAGCGCGTGTTCGTCTTCCAGTCAGTCAGGTCGATTTTACCCAATCCGCCGATGATCAGCTGGGTTGCGGCCAGGAGAGGAAGAAAAAGACGTCATAAACATAACAAATGAAGGGGCCAGCTAGTTCCTTAAAAGTACCGTTTGGAAAAAAAAGAATGTACCTCAAGTTCTTTATGGTCGAAAGCTTTTAGGAGATGTTGGGGGATAAGCTCACTAAATCCCTTCTGGAGAGCCAGAAACTGGGCTTCGATTCCTCGCATAAACCTCCAGTTCACATAAAGCCTAAGGAGGACAATGAACATGTTAACACACACACACACACACACACACACACACACACACACACACACACACACATTTATTTAGTGGTCATTCATTTAATTAAATAATGAGATTATTTTTGATAGAGTATAGTAGCTATGTCATTACCTCACATATTCCTTCTTGTTCTCCTCAGTAACGGGAATGTTACGGCCGTTAGGTTTGAGTTCATGTTGTAGAAACTTCCCAAAGGCGTTATGCTCCACGCAGAAGGTGTGGTCCAGGACCGAGGTGATGTCATTCTCTCTGCAAACACAAGATCATGATGACAATGAGCATCATCGGCGTAATAATGCAGTCGCATTTACTTTTCCTTCCCTTTCACCCCATACATTATTCATGATTTTGTTGCTATCGTGGTTTGCCATTGCAGATCCAGATCTTTAATTATACATGGGCAGCTATGGCTAGTTTATGAATAGCATTACAAAAGGCATATTGATGTCAGGCAATTCTCCTTCTGCGAGTTGCGATTTTGTCCTGCAGACAATCGCACGGTTGTGGCAAATGTACCAAAACAAAGTCCAGAATAAAACCTTCTCTCAAGTCGATTTGTGTGCAGGTGATCTAACTTACAATATCCAGATGAGACTCTTGTGCAACTCTGGGTCGGTGGTCTCCAGGTCATTGAGCTGAATGGGTTTGCCTAACAGCTGTTTGTAGAAGGGCAGCGTGAAGCTCCCGTTGATGTAGTGACCATGAAAAACTGCCAGCCCCATTACCCGGCCCACAAAGTGGAAATATGAAAGGTGATCCTGAAATATGGGCAACACAGCATATATATAGAGGTAAGTTGTAAAGTCAATTGTGGAGTGTCGTATGTGTCTCTCAGCACCCACCGGGTTAATGGAGGAATCGGGGTTGATCTGTAATGTGTAGATATTGTCTGTGGAGTACTGGAATAGGCCATAATAGGGATTCAACATTTCATGGCACAGCAGGTACAGCCACTCCCTACAGAGAAGAGAGAACCACAATGTTATGGAGGTCAGACTCATCCGTACAACAAATAATAGAAAATAAAACACTCTTTAACATGAGTTTTTATCATGCAGGTCTTTATGGTGAATCACATTTTCTGATTTGCAATTTTCACAGTGTATCACTTGTGTCAACAATATTACCCGAGCATGTCATGACTGTAACCCTAAATACCTCGTTTTCCAAAGTGGCATAAATAGAGAATCACCTGGCCACACCACCATAGTCCAGTCCCTCCTCTCCTCGGAATTTAACCATGAGACGTTTCTTCAGGTCTTTGGGCCTCATCTTCATTATCTGCCGATACGACTCCTAAAACAACAGACATGTACAAAATAAAACACACTCTCATCATTGTTCTTATACATTTTTAATTTGCAATCAAAAGGCATTGAAAAAAAAAAGTGACAACCAAACATCTAAGTATGGAACTGTTGTTCGGTTTAAGTTAAGAAAGGGGTTTAGTGGAGAAAAAAAGCTTGTCATGTCTGCAAAAAATTAAGGCGAAAAAAACATCGATCACAATTTTGGACCAGATGTTCTGCTAAAATGAAAAGAAGAAATCTACCATTGTGTAAGAAACACAAAGAAGACGCACTACGATATTTGCTCTTGCGGGCCACAAAAAAGTCAGGACACATCTCCCAGCATATCTATACAGACAATATCTGATGCCACTCGTGTGCTGAGTGTGTGTACCATCATTAATGGAGAAAATCATAAATTAAGAAAGGTAGCGCCCACCTCAAATATCTCTTCACGGGACACCTCAATGCGACAGTGTCCAGCTTGGGGCTGCTGCAGAGAGAGCTCGTGGCGCAGCAGCTTCAGTTTGTGGACCAAATCTCTCTCGTAGCGTGCCGCCACATCCCCATCGCCCCCGACACCGCCGCTCATTCCTCCAACTCCGCCCTCATCAACCCCCACATCCATCTGGGGGGCTTGTGAGGATTCCTTCACTTGGGATTGCTGGCTGAAGGTGGGAAGACACATTTTGAGAAATGAACAAAATTACAAATTCAACACATTAAAATATTTGTATGCAGTCTATGCGCCAGATTACATATCCAAGCACCATCTACTATAAAACCGCATTTCCATAAAAGCAGACATTTAGTAGGTCATGTTGAGATCCAGTGTGAGTTCCGCATTGCAGCAGGGAGATTAGCAACAGATTAGTGTTGAAACTACTTATTTTTCCCCGCGTGTTGGGGTATCTCGAAATGAGGTGCAGACATCCGCCGGTCGGATTCATAAACGTATTTTTGAGTCGGCCGCTACCTGATGATGGTGTGTAGACGTGGATCTGTGAACTGCGTGGTTCTGTTGTTGTGGTCCACGAAGTAAATGCGGCCCGACACGGTGCTTCGGACCTCCCAGCCCACTGGCAAGGGACCAAGTTCCTCACAGCTTACACTGGCCAGGTCTCTACATCAGTAACATGCAAGCAAGCGCATAAGTCCAGATAGTAGAAATCTAACTCCAACAAAATATGCTAAACCTTCAAGCAGAGCCGAGACCTTACACACTCTTTGTTAGTAACCCAGAGTATAGACCGCAACGAAAAAAAAAAAGCAGAACTGAACGCTCGGTGTCAATGCCGAGACTGTTCGTGAACACATGCAATATTTCTTCAAACCGAGGTTCCCCAACAAATGGGAGTCATACCTCGGTATCCGAGGGTCATGCCAGGTGCTGACACCTGTCTGCGTGTGTAGGAAGTACACCTGGCCCTGCACTGTTGTTCGCTGCTCTGTATGAAAAAGAAACAAACAGGTGAAAATGATGAGTGGACCACTAATTTGGTTTCGAGAGTGACACGGTAAAAGTTGAGACCCCGGCCGGCCACGTCGGACTGACCATATCCTTCAGGCAGGTCGGGTGGCTGGTGCCCGTGAGGTCTGTTCTGAGGTGTGTGGCCATGTCCTCGGGAGTCCTGCCCCCGGATTCGTTGGGACTGAAGACGGTTTTCTTGACTAGGCGAGTCGAGACGGCAGTTCCCACCGCCCGCAGCACCGGTGGCGTCAGAATAAGGCAACGGTTCTTCACTGAAACATCCCTCTAACACGGGCCTACACAAAGAGTCACACACGTAACACACTCATATTCGATGATGCAAAAATACGAAAACTGGGAATGTGCGACGTCCATAAAATGGGTCATATATAATAAAAAAAATAAACAAGTAAAACGACGTGAATGACACAACAATAAAACTGTGTCCCACTGGACATGATGTGGAATTTCTCATGCATTCCAGTATCATGTTGATCAAAGCACAGTCAGAATGTATTTGAGGACTATGTGGGGACCTTAGCAAATGACAACATCATCAATATTTACATCCTGGAATGTCGCTATTTGATGCTGGGAGCATAAACATTTGTGGGCGCACTCACCCATCGTTTTCCAACAGACCTCGACAGTCCACCACGGGGCCTCCACTACCTATGCGGTCTCGTGTCTGCAGGCTCACTGGGGAGGGGGAGGTGGGTGGGGGGGGGAATTATAATGTAAATGTCAGGCCATGAATATTTTGGGGCGAGTGTACACACAAGAGACACCAAGAGAGAATCATCGTGTGTGTGAGCAGCCTCACCTACAATCTGTCCCCGCACTGCGTCACTGTCTGAGGGGTTCAGTTTACAAAGATCTAGCCGCTGGTCTGGAGGGAGACATAAAAAGACACATTGCTTGGTTTTTTTTTTGTACCCTCTTTCAACATGCCACATTTATGCAGCAGAGGGTTTTTGTCCAAGACGCGCCAAGAAAAGAAAAGAAAAGAAAAGAGAGCTTACATCCTGTGTCTTTTAGTCTGCTGATGGCATTTGAAAGAAGTCTAATGCACCCCAAGAAGCCTGCCCCCTGCCGTTTATGGATCTTCTTGTGGTTCCATATGCTGATGGTGATTGAGTCTGCCTTTCCAATGTAGCTGGGGGAAAAAAAAAAACACATGAATTCGATTGTTTTGACAGTCATAACCTTAAAAAAACAACAACAACAAAAACCAATAAGAGCTAATATTAACAACCTAATGTCAGCGCAACGTGTTCAAGGAAGTTTGAAGTGTGACACCTACTGAAACAGATTTGTAAACTGCACAACACACACCCACGGGTGAACTAGTGACAGAGGATCATTCGGTTTCCAAAGCAGAGCTAGAAGGACACTGCAAGCACAGGCCGGGGAATTGTTGTGAGTGGGCGAAGGACACTTACAGGTCGTAGTGCTGATTCCATTTGGGGTCCAGTGTGCTCTTAACTGTGTCTGTCGAGTGGCATTGACCGGATCCGTCCACCACAACCTTGGCAAAAGGATCTGGTAGACCTGTGTGCCCACCATTCATGACTGTTAGCATTTAGTTCTGTGGTTCTCAAATGTTTTAAACCTCAGGAGGCAGTATAAAAGACTATTCAGAAAATATCCTATAATGAAATACTACATTCAATATAAAAGTAATTGTTGCAAAAAGCAAAAATCTGTTGATTCCGACACAGCGTCATATTGGCCCGGGGGCCATCAGACCACCATTAATGTCGGACCCTGAGAATCACTGACGTAACCAGATAGTTGATGAGTGAAAACACGGTCGAAGTAGTCGAAGACGTACCGCACAAAGAATCTCATTCAATCAATTCCTGATCTACAGACGTCAGCATGGCACAAACTTCATGCAAAAGAAAGGAGCAACTTACGAAAGAAGTCTTTCTTTGCGAGGTTCTTGGCACATAATACTGCAGGAAAGAACAGAACATAATGAATATGGAACACACACACACACGCACACACACACACACACACACACACACACACGCACGCACACACACACGCACACACACACACACACACACACACACACACACACACGCACACATCCACACAAAAACACAAGTGGTTTAAAATGATGTAGATTGGCACAATGAACGCTGCTATTCAGAAAAAAATGCTCTGCCTTGTAGGACACGAATAAATAAATAATGCAGAAGATCTACACACGGAGGCCTCCCACAGCGAGGGTGGAATACATTTATTCCATTTGAACTGGTTACAGTATGTCATGGCATTTTAGTTGTGGATCAGCTGCCCCATAAAGTGGACCCTGTCATGGGGGATGAAAAAAAAATGGTGCCGATGGCACAGAGTAATCTCATCACCTATTGATTGACAGGCTGCCACTAATTGATCTGTTCCACCAGCCGCAATGTTAGCCTGGCTTTGTGCTCCAATTCAAACTGCAGAATGGTCCAGTTTGGCCCAGATGGCCGTTAAGAAAGTCAGTCCGCCGCAGGTTTAGGATGTGGTGACCATGGTGGCGGAGATATGTCTGCTCTGTCCTCCTCTACTTCCTGTGAATAACCCGTGGAGAATGGCTGCAAGATCTCCTTCCCTCTTCCCTTGACTCACACATTCCACAGTGAGACATCACCGCCAGAGAAGCGGAGCCACGAGACAAACAGAATCACATTTCTTGATCTATCCTCAATCCACTTGCGTACTTTCTGTCACTGCTCAACTACCACTTCGCCCCCCCGCACCCCCGGCCCCCCTTCACCCTTCCGTCTGTCTCTTGCCAGGAAAACGAGAAGGACAAAGGTTTTTCACCCGCTCTCTCTTTTCAGAGTTTTGTTCAGCTCTTCCGTGGCAGTAAATGTGTGACCGGGCCTTTCTCAGCATTTCAGGAAATTCCTCTTTCTGCCAAGGTCATGCCTGGTAAAGACGCACATAAAGACACACACACACACACACACACACACACACACACACACACACACACACACGCACACACTTCCCCATACATACACAACCGCTCAGCTGGTTCTCCACTTCCCCACTGCTGCTTGCTTTTCCTTTTTGGCATTCAAGGCTGATCTTTTTTAGAGAACCTGAGAACCGGTGGGAGCCAGCAGAGGAAGAATCCTTTTCATCCGGTCTTGGGGGGAAACGAACAGGAACCTCACAAAGCGCGACGCTGACAAAAGTGAGCGACCGCTGTCTCGGGGAATCTAAAACTTGCTTTTTCAGCACGTGTTCGACAGATATTCAAGGGTTTTGCAGTTGAAATGATTTCTATTAAAATATACAGGTATTTTTAGGACACAATGTCATGTGCAGTTTCCTGATCAATACCCACAGATTGATCTCTAAATGATAAATTATTGCTTTGGCTACTGTTTTAGAGTGGCTTGTGTGAGATGTTGTCATCACTTCTTGTGATACTTGAGAAAAAAAAACCCTCAGAGCCACTATTTGATGAGGAATTACTAGCATCCGAACACATCGATGGGATTTCATGCCCACGTTGACCCACCTACAAATAAGTCGCTTCATTTATGCGCTTGTCCTCTTTTCAACCTGGATACATGCATGTGGACGTTTGTGCACATGCTGCAGGCTCAAGCAGGGCCGTGAGAAGATTAGAGGTGCTTATAGGTTTCCTACTAAAATGCTGTCTCCCCTTTCCTCACTTGCAAGCTACTTGGTATGATTGTGATTCCTTCACTCCTTTTCCTTTTTTTCATCATTTTCCCTTCATTTCTACCCTATCTTGTGAGTGTCCCGTGTCGAATGAGCCAATTGGTGCACAATCCAAATAGTTGGCAACAAACCCCGAGCAGCACGTGTTGCCTGAGCAAGCTAACATTCAGCTGACAATGTTTGGCGCGGTAAGCCCACAAGCCTCCTTCTTCGCTAGACAAAACAAACCTCTGTACTTCCTTTGACCGAACTATGCTTTCGTTTTCTTGGCCTAAATATTCAATGGCATCACACTAAATAGGAGGCAAGCCTATCCATCAAGGCTTCATTTTTCAGGACCAACAAGACAGTCTTTCATACGGAGCATCGCTCTTTTATATCAGCAAAATATATCCACAAGAGACTGTGGGTCAAATACGTCACAATAAAGTCAAGAGGGGCCGGCCGGGTCTTTGTGTGTGTCTCCCTGCCACAGGCGCACAAGCCTTGTGCTAATGTAGGCCAAACATCCTCTCTGCTTGACAGACTCAACACACATTTGCCAGCCCAAGAGTATTACACTGCCATTGGTTCAACGCACATTCCGCAGCCAATTAGAATTTCCTCCATACCTGTAGGAGCAATGGCAAAGTCAGGGGTAATAACCTTTGCTTGCATCCAAGTAGAACTAATGAGCGTCTAAATAACACACACACACACACCACACGTGTTGTGCATCATACTATATTTATAAAAAGAAATGATATACATGTATTTAACATTTGCGCAAAAACAAGAGCCATAAAGAAAAAAAATTTGAGCGAGTTCAGGCTTGAAGCATCACGGCATCAACCCGTTGTTATGCTGTTTATTGCGTTGCACACACAAAGTCCGCTAACTTCTTTTCTAGGTTTGGTCAAGTGATGTTCTATTTGTCGCAGATGAGTAAAGCTGGTTGATGTACTTTGAACTAAATTAGCGATGGGACTGTTTCTTTATCCAATCAGATTTCCAATGTTCTCCTGTGATTGGTTCAGAACGAAACTTGTGAAGGTCAAGTTCGACGAGCAAAACACATCTGTAACGATCTGCAGTTTATTATCGGCATCTCCGGTGACTATGCTGTATAATACTGAAATGTTTTTGTTTTTGTCAAGTTATGAGGTCTACATTAATTCGGAAGTAATCAAGATGATGTACAAGTTATATTGTGTTTTGCTTTAGTATTGATGGTTTTTAAAACTGCAACATGATAGTGGTGGTATTTCAAGAAGGATTAGTCAAAAAAAGTTCCCACTGAAGGCCCAGCTACCAAATGCACAAAACGCCACTGATTGGATCAAGTGAGATTGTTCCGCTTCACGAAAAGTGCGTACCATGGTTTCATTTACCCAAAAAAAAAAAAAAGCATCTTTATTCACCTATCTATGCCAGCACCATCTGGTGAAAGGCAGAACAATGGCATGTTTTTCTACTAGATTGCATAAGGTAGATAAATAAATCTGTATGCAATTTCTGTTACATCCTTGATGGCGTGCATCCTTTATTTCTGATGCAACATAGGTGCATCAACGCTTCAATTAAGCCAATTCTTCGGTGTGAATGCTCGGTTTAGCATCAGGTGACCAAGGAGTCAGGCCCTAGGCACAGAGAGACATTTCCATTTGAATAGAAGCCCCTGGGAGCCCGATGGGGTCACACCGGCTACAGTGGGAAGCCTTTGTTACAGCGGTGTCCCTGTATCAAAGAGACTACTTTATGTCCGACACAAGCTAGCCTCAACGTCAAAAACAACCTTAAATTGTCGAATTAAGCAGCCAAGAGCCCAACAAATAAAGGAGATAACGGTTAAGTATAGCATCACGATGTACATCGGTTATGATGCTTCAAATAGCTGCCAGACGCAATCGGCAGGTAAAAATCAACAAACTCATAAACTCAATCAATGAAGAAATAAGTGTTCAATTGCATTCATTAATAAGGTTAAGTATAAATGTTTTTATGGTCTGGTGGTGGTGGTGGTGACTGAGCCCCCCCGATGGGCGTAGCTAGCGAGCATTAGCGGTCAACGTTAACTACAGCGTTAGAGCGAGCTAACGCCGACTGGCTTGTGTTAATAATTCATCGCGTATTCATGGTTTTAAAGCGGCTATGTTTTCCATTGACCCCCAGCGGCTAAGAATAGGCTTCTGGCTCGCGTGAAAGTTCCACGGGACAGTGAATGATTTCTACACAGTGGACTGCTTTCTTGCATTGCGGCTAACAAGCTAGCACTTGTGCCTCTGTCTACTGCACAAAAACCGGATGTTTAGGCAAATAGCAGCCCTTCAAAGCTACTTCGGTTTGTCAGATTAGGCTTCCCTAACATAAACGATACGTCGCAGTGCACCGAGGATCCGAACCGCAGCGTGTGGTTTTTTTTACAGTCTCGATTCTTGTTCTTTTTTCTTTACCTGTCAGTCGGATTTTGATGCTGGACCCGTTCCTCCGAGTCCCAGGATTCGACATCACTCCGTGAAAAACGAGCCCACAAAGTTTGCCTTCGGGTCTCTTAAAAGAGACCGTTTCACGACTCTGTTGGATGGCGAATGTCTTCAGATTACAAACACGCGGTTGTTTTTTCGGTTCTTCATGGATGCGAATATATTATTTCATGGCAAAGTCCTGCGCTTCTTCGAGATCCGACAACACGGGAGAACATTTTCGGGCAGGCTCAAGCACGTAATGACGTCACAATCCTCACTGTACAGCCTTACGTGCTCGCGTCCGGTGGGCGTGCCCGTGGAAGTCCCTGCACGCAGTAAGACGTTTTATTTTTTGAATTGAAATGCTATTGACGGAAGCGTATTGAATTCACTTGGGGAAAAATGTTTTTCTGAGTAAATTTGTTTTGTTTTATTTTTTTTCTGGGATTAGACATTTTTCATGATTGACTAAAATGTATCAAAATAAAAATGTGTCGTTAAATAAAACCAGTCCATTTAAAATTGATTTAGGATTCTGGATTCCTCTGACGATTCTATTTTCATGAACAAGTCAACTGAATCTAATTCAGTTTCAATAGTTAACATTATGTATGCTGAGCTCTGAAGAATAGAACTTTTATCTTCTCTAAGTATACTCATCATAAACACAGTGGTAAGGATTATATGGTGATATATAACATACAGTATATGATAGGAATGAGGTTTTATTTATAAGCCTGCATCAAACTCAGGGCTAATTTCGCAAGCATGCCAGGTTTGTCACCTATTGTAAAAAGGCATTTGGGATAAAAATTTAACAAGATATTTTTTTAATTGCCATACAATAGCATACATCATTTTTTCATCATAAACACAGTGACAGGGATTATATGGTGATTTATAACATATATGATAGGAATGAGGTTATATTTATAAGCCTGCATCAAACTCAGGGCTAATTTTAGAAGCATGCCAGTTTTGTCATGTATTGTAAAAAGACATTTGGGATGAAAATTTAACAAGATCTTTTTTTTAATTGCCATACAATAGCATACATCATTTTTCCCTCCCCTCTGCATGTTACTCATCACAGACAGGATTAAGTTTATTTCACTGAAAATAGTATGTCCAGTTGTTCATAAGATTGACGTTATGTTCAACACTGCACATCGCCTTCGGCAGCATTGAAATTCACTGAACACATGACAGTGATGGTCTATCATATGATGCGATTCACTTGAAATGTTTATCTGGAGGTAAAGTCCTTGACTTGGCTACTGGGATTTGCCTGTGGCGGTATTAGCGACTGGAACAATGGAGCCTCTGAGTAGACCGTTTTCAGGGCACGGGATTCAGTAAATCCACATCGGACCGGACACAAGTAATGCTCACATTCAAAACACCGCTGCTCTCTCGACTGTTGCACTGAGTTTTAAGCAGAGCCATATTGTTTCATTGATCGCCATTTGACACCATTTTTGCGCACTCTTCATCCCACTTTACATCAATCCTCTTCTAACTCTGAATTTGTTCTCCTCCTGTCTACGTTTTTCCATGTCAGGACTCCACAGGTGGCTGTACTGATGCCTGCGATAGCTTGGAAAGAGAGAGCATCATATACATGATTACCTGACCCCAACAACACCCAAGGTCTTTCCTGAGACGCCACCCGCTTTGGTGAGGACACACTTCTTACTTTACGTCATACATTCATTCCAGAGAACAAAGCCGTGCTTCACACACAACCTTTAAATAGTGCTTTCTTCCACTCTCATCCATCCAGTCTGGCGAGTGAGCTGGAGTGGTGTAGGTCAGTAGCAGCAACAGCAACCATGCTGGGTAGTGCAGGGGGCACAACGTGGACCTGATGCCCTTCTTGACTCCTTCTTTACCCCGTAATCATCTAAGAGTCAAAGTGTTACTCTAAAAAGGATTTGCATCTAAAATGTGAATGCCAATTACGTAAGTACTCTTCCCCCAAGTTCCAAGCCAGCGATACACCCAACCTCACGTTCTTCAACGAGGCCGGCGTCTTGGAAAACCTGTGTAGCCGTTACGTCAACATGAGGATCTATGTAAGAAAAGCCCTCGTAGTAGAAACAGAGACGACAACATTGAACGTTGATCAACCTTGAATTCATCCATTTTTCCCGTCAGCCGCATACCTACCTCTGTTGAGGCAAGATTTATGTTGGCGCTTGTATTATTCATGGGAATGGCCCTTTGTGCTCGTCCCTCCTTTTAGACCGAATATGGCGTGTTCTGTGAGTGACTATCAACCCATAATGGCTGCCCACCTATGACCCAAATGTACAAGCGGAAGAAAGGCAACAGAGTTCCTCCCTCTTCTCCATCTCGCACAATGGCACCATGACACGATAAATTTTTCCACTATAAATGTGACCTACATCTTGTACAACTGAATTCTCCTTTTTTTGGGGGGGCGTGAGATGCTGGTACCTTCTGCAGACACAGCACAGGGACACCATTCAAAGTCACATGTTTTTGTGGGTTGGCGACAGGAAGTGTCTGCATGGCTCCTTCACACCACACTGACTCACTATTGGCCGTTAAGAAACAAAGCTCTATTACGAGAAAAGTTTGTCCAGGTGCATATAATGCCTTCAAGGTTTTCTTGTTTTGGCCTCATGCTCAGCTTAAAATTGTATTTTGTGTTTCGCACGTACAGCCCTCATCCAACTCAGATCTGGGATGAATTTGGACAAGATAAGATGAAGGGCAGCATCATTTAAAGTATATGTGATGATACGATGATTCCGCTGTTCCTGAGTGGTCAAAATCAGTTTATGTGAGTTCACTTCTCCCTTAAATATTTGTTTTTTTGTCATACCTGATTTATGTAAAGAATATTTGGTTCAACATTTTTTTTCAGAGCCTCACTAAGAACACCTTAGTACGAGTTTTCACTTGAAATGATTTTGAGGTTCCAGAATTTGTTGTGCAACTGGTGACCTCTTTGTGTTGAAAATACATTTTGTATCATCTTTGTCTTTAAATTAATGTTAAAAAAAAGCATAATTTGTGCACTGTACAGTTCTGCTCTTTTAAATTATGACAAGTTCCATATGGAGTCAACTGGATCAGTTGGTGAGTAGTGTTTTATAAGTAGCCTATGTTTTGATTTATTTTGAAAAAAATACAGTAAAAATAAGTTAGTTTGTTGCGTTTGTCTAAATATGGAATGTTTTTTTTTTTTGCTCTTTTAAATTATGACAACTTCCATATGGAGTCAACTCAGATCAGTTGGTGAGTGTTGTGTTCTATAAGTAGCCTATGTTTTGATTTATTTTGAAAAAAATACAGTAGAAATAAGTTACCGTTTGTTGCATTTGTCTAAATATGTAATGGGTTTTTTTTTGTTGTTGTCGCCAGCAATTTCTGTTGGTACTTTGTCACTCCTTCATTTTGGTGGTGTGTGTGTGTGTGTGTCATAATGCGCGAGTAAAATGTCATGGTACAACATTACATAACATGGACTTTATTGTGGTTTCAAATGAATGTTTCACATTTTATACAAAAATCAATAGAAAAAGCCAGACACTCCCAATCTCCTGTTTCATCTTTGCTGAGTGGCTTCAGTCACCAAAAGGACCCGCCGACCAATCAAATGAAAGACATGTATTGTCCACATCGAGTCTCTGGCCAGAAGCAGAACATTTTACAGTGTCAACCTGCCACGAGAAGAAATGTACAGACGGATTGTGTTTCTAAGCTCTGCAGAAAAATGGTTACCACCCAGGAAATGTCTTCAGTGTATGGACACGCTATCACGGCAACATCATGCAGGCTCACGCAGCGCTGAGTAGAAATGCCCGTGTTGCTTTTTTAAAAACAGGCATAATATCAAAAGTTGGACTCTGACCACTGATAGGAGCAAAGCATGGATGGGTGGGTCCGACGAGCCTCTGTTAAGAGGTAGAAGTGATCAAGGGTAAATGTAAGCTAATTACGCCACATGCGCAAACACACACCTGTGCCAATAAACGGCATCAAGACACACGCGAGCTGACGACACACACTGTGCGCTCCTTGCCCAATGGCGTGCACGCGTGCGTGTGTGTGTGTGTGTGCGCGCGTTTGTGTACGCATGAGAGAGAGAGCAAGGCGTCAGAAAAGAGAATACAGCGCACACCCTCGGTTAAGATCAGACAAATTTAAATTGATTTTATTAAGCCAACGCAGAAATCTCCAACAGAAAACATGAAGGGCAAAGAGGCACTTACACAATCATTTTTTTTGTTTGTTTTTTAAACAGCGCGAGAATCTGCGCTTGGCCATAGTAGAGCACAGCTACATTTCTATTTTGATCCAAAGTCCAACACGCACGCTCAAACTGTCATTCACATTGGGGATTTGTTTGAGCGGTTGGCACATGTACATGCAAAGCAGTCAGTTTGGTCCGTGGAGACTAAACTGAGGGGGAAAAAGAGCAGAAGAAGGAGGGAGGACGCTAAAATGCGGAGGTGTGTGTGAAGAGACATACAACAGATAACAACAGAGAGGCGCCGGAGCACTCATGTGTTTTGGGGGAAAAGAGGAAAAAAAAAAAAACACCTTCCCTCGCTGAGCCTGCCCTCCCCTCTCATGTCACTTGTCGATAGCAGCGCCAGAGGAGCCCTCTGATTGGTGGGTGCGGCCGTCCGTTTTGGTCAGTCAGTTTCCAGGATGAGCGGCGGCTGCTCGTTCTCATCCTCCAGCCGCAAGCTGTTGAGGTCTTCCTCTAGCCCCGCCCCTCCCACGGCGCCCTGCTCGTCACAGTAACCTAGGATGTTCAGATGGCGAGAGTGAGTTCAAAGGTCGCATCATGGAGCACCACACAAAAGTTCGATACTCCTCCTTGCCGTTAGGGGAAAGCCAGGTACATGCATTCCCGTTTAGGAATGTGAGACGACACACATGATGAGGAAAAGAACTTGCTTGCTGTTCTTATAATGCAGTTTCCAAACCTTTAAGCCAAGTAACAAATTTTACACAACAAAAAGGTATTGTATTGTACTGTAATGCCCTCTTGAGGTCACTCACAAGGCCGCGACCCTTACAAGCACACTAACGCACAAAAAAAAACGACAACGTGTAGAGTAATTACACATACAAACCAATTAATTTGATTAGATTATCGTGTTTTCATTCACTACAGTATTATTTTGATGACTCTGTCAAGTGACAAAAATAAATTTCTTGTAAATTTGACAAACCACAGGAGAGTTGCTGAATTTGATCACATGGGAATGAAAATGGTTGAATTTAGCCTGCGTGTCAGTCCGTGTGTACCCTGCTTAACAATGCTCCTTCCTTATTTGGGTCTGTGCATGCACGTTTTCAAAGGAGGCTTACAAGGAAGACTCTAAATGTACCTCGCTATGTTCAGCACGAGTATAGTTTGTGACATACCTTTAGTGACAGAAGCACTGTAGGTCTGCGCCACAAGCGGGCGATCATGTGTCCCCTGCTCCAGGATCTCATTCGGCGGCTCTGCACTGCCGTCTAACCTGAGGTCAACAGCAGAGGTTCTTAAAACTAAGGTCTTATTTAGTATCGGTGGAGTTATTGGCGTCCAAGAAAAGAGAGCACGTTCACCGTGTCTGTGCGCGTTACCTGTGCTGCTTCATTAGAGTGCATTCCCCTCCTTCTTGTGGATCCAAGTTGTAGAGATATAAGTAGCCATCGGCCGCTGCAACCAGCAACCGTGGAATCTTCTGAATCCTACGAGACGACCCAAGAAGATAAAAATAAGCCTGCGTGTTTTATGGCGATTTCATTAACTCAACGTTATCTGAAATCCTGATTTGCCGCTACCTATTTCCCAATGGTAATATGGAAGGAAAGGTCTTGGTTGGCATAGCGCGGGAGAATTCCATATAATGAACGCAATAAACAAAGCAGAGAGAGAAACTGACATTGCTAAAGCGCAGATGTTCTTATGGCCACAGAAGGGCAGCCGCACGGTGGCGAAGGCTCGCCCCTGTGTAAACATTTCTGTGACCTGGGAGGGCAAATAGCTAGTTGATGCCATCAGAACCTTGCCCAGGTATCCTCCCCATGTAGTGGGCTCCTCTGCTGGCCTACACGCGCACACACACACACACGCACACACAAATAGAGTGGGAGATGAACTCAAACTGCCTGCACAGAAGTCAAGTAGGTGAATTACTGTGATAGCACAACCAAAAAACAGCATTCTTTTTCAAATACGTACACATACTTCTCCTTCTGTGTTTCAAGTTTGAAGATGTGAACCGTCTCTGTGTTGCTGGAGGCTGACAGGTACAAGCCTTCCATGCTGAAGGCCAAGGAGCAGATGCTCACACACCTATGACCAGGACCACACACACATACACGCACACACAGATAAGAAAATGAACCTTTGGTGCGTGAAAATTTCACTGTAGCGATCACATCAATCACCTCTTGACGCCTCGCCGAAATTCAAAGAGTTTTTGTCCTTCTGGGATAGAGAAGACACGGATGACTGTGCCCTGGGATGAGGAAATGAAACACAAAAGACACGCACGCAGAGGAAGATAACAGTTGAAGGGATTGCAAGGCGATTTTATTTACTCAGACATGTAAAGGGAGAGAGAGAGAGAGAAAAAACAGGCAAAGGCCTTGTTACAGTCCTACCTTCTCTGAAGCTGTGGCCAGTTTGGTTCCACTGGCGTCAAACGCAAGAGCTGCTAATGGGCTGTCGTGGGCAGGAATCATGTTTGCGGCTCGCTGAAACACGCACGTGTAACGGGTGGAATAAGATGCCAACAGAAGTGAAGTCAGCCCCAAGTGGAAATGCTTTTAAATCCAGTTTTTTTTTAAAGTATTATTTTGAAAGCATTTTTAAGATCAAATTTTCCAAAATCTTATTCTTGCACTGTGTTCTTTTACCATTTAAAAGGCTACATTTGATTTCTTGACTTTGATTTTTCATGTCTCAAACTCATTTGTTTGTAAACGCTTTAAAATGTTTAGCTTATAATTATGTGAAGCATATTGAGTTACCCTGTTCAGATAAATATTTCCAGTTTACACGAGGGTTAAAAATCTGTGTAGTTAAACAAGCAATGAAAACATGATGAACAGCGACATGTTTGTAATGAACATCTGCATCACTGCCAAAACTGCCATAGAAAAGTGAGGCTTTCACTCAAGAAACGGTCTGAGGGGCAGAAGTGGCATCGTTTTTGTGTTCACCTACCAGGTTGACAGTGTCAAACACTTGAACTTCTCCTATCATGGCACTGCCAGGATATGCCAAGTAACAGTTGTCGTTACTAATGGACAGGGCACACAACCCTGTAGGAAGGCAAACAAACACAAACAAGAAGAAAGTCATTCAAAGAGATCCAATCAAAAAGCTGTATCAAAAATACTCACGTTAAATGACCCTGCCAGAGGTACTGATTCAACTATATTGTTGAGGAGTGTGAAAGAAAGCCCTTTCTAATTTTTATGAGAATGGTTTATAATTAGCGTAAACATTTTTTTCTTGGGTAAGCTGTGCAGTTTACCTAATGGGGTTGATGAAACATACTGTTGTACGGTTTATACAAACCTGAAGGGTTGGGTGGAGTCTCTCTGATTGTATGCAACACTTTCATGTCTCGAATATTGTGAATGTAAAGCGACTCCTCCAGACACACGATCAGCCTCTGTAGAAGAAATCACACACACACCGCAAAAACTAAATATCAACCGGTCTTTTCTGTAACTCTAAACACAATGGAAGACACAGCAAATAAGTGAAAGGAGTGAGTGTGTTTATCTTCTTACCTGTCGATTGAGTTTAACAGCCAGTATTGTGTTGGAGTAGGAGTAGTTGCAGATTTCAGTTCCCTTCTTGAAGTGACAGACTTTGAGCTTCCTGGGGGCCTTGAGGCTGACGATGGCCACCAGGCTGCTGGAGAACAGACGCTCCACGATACACACATCCTCTGTGTCCGCTGTTTAACACAAACACACACATATCATCAGCTTTCGCAGTTGGCTGAGTTACACGCAATTTTGTAGTCGGACTTTGGAGGATGTGTCATGACAAGGAAGCCAGATCCATAAATAAGGAAGTGATGATTAATAATAAGACTTAAGTTATATTATTAATAGAAAACTTGCAGCTGTGTTGTATACAAACACACTGTATATGCGTACAGGATACAGAAACGGTATTGTATGTTCACTCACTATAATTGGATAAATATGGGATACTCACTACATTCATATATCTGGTCTAATTTTTCCACAGAGGACAGAGAGAAAAACTTGTATCCCGATTTGGTGCCAACAGCCAGGGACCTTTGAAAGCAACACAACACAGACCCAGTCATTGCTGGAACAGAAAAATAATTCATTTTTAAAAACACCGCAACGTCCCAGCCTGACGTAGCCGTATCAAACTCAGCATGTTTATTCAAAGCCCCCCTCACCCCCCAATTGACGAAATCTTACCTCAAACATGTGGTGATCGAAAATACTAAAATAACTTCGCGTTATATTATATGAATTAAATGATCCACATTGAAAATGATGAATCAAAATCTATTCTGATAGATGAAGCTAAAGTTAGCGTGTGAGAGCACACCATCACGTTAGCCTAGCAGCTACCAGCTAACCACCGACAATATTAGACGACCTACGGTTTTAGGATTAGATAACGGACAATACTCGTACATTAGCCTTGACATTCAGAAAAAACAAAGGCAGACTGCGTCTCGTCGAACGGTGTCAGGCCGTCAAAAAGTAGAAAAGCCCCCAAAATGGAAGCTAATGCTTGCTAGCTCCATAGCACTGCCCGCCGTAGCATCGAACATTCCCCGGAGGCTGCCTGTGTTCTTCCCCGTCCTGCCCTCCATTCGGCCCGGCCCTGGCTTACGTGTTATCCTGGTTAAAGTTGGCGAAGAGGAGCTGGCTTCCGCCCGCATCCCCGCTTAGGCTAGCCAAGTTCATGAGCCCGGCACCATCGACGTATAAAGGCCCGGGGGAAATGGAAGCTGCTGGCCTGGTAATGGGTGTGTGTTAAGGGCCAGACGTGTAGTTGAGCTTCAGGGAACCATTGCGTTGGCCAGTCGTAGCAATGCTAACAGGATTGTTGTTGTTTTTCATTTGCAGGTGGTGGTGGAGTAGGGGGAGCTGCTCCATGCATCTGCGCATGCGCGTAGACAGACGCGTGGAACGGCCTTAAAGGTACAGTCAAACATTTGTTCGACTGTCCTTAAATGTTATATGAAAACTTTGCATTGTCCTGACACGGTTATGAATGATGTTTCTGCTGCCTTTTAAATTGGTGTTTGACGAAAAAATATCTACTCAAGCTTGTAACCATTTACAAACGTGAAGTGTGCTGACTGTTGTGTCTTAGTAAGGCTGTGACAGCTGTGTCCTTTGGTCAAGTTGAATGTTATGGTTGTTCCAGAGGTTTGTAAGCACTGGCACACATCCAACACACGTTGGTTTACATTCTCTTCTAAGTCAATACGTCTTCTGAAATAGAAAGCAAAGCTCGGCAAGCCATAACTGGATCTGCATGAATAAATATGCTCATATCATCTGTGAAGAAAAAGCAAGACACATGAATACCCACAGATGCATTATAGAAGAATGCGAGTCAGTCACCATGTATGACATTCACGGTACTTTATACACATACATGCCCACTGTGGTTGAGTCAGTGATAAATGTGTGAACTGATTTGTTTGAATCATTCACACAGGTCTTTGGATAATATGTCTGTGTTGCCTCACACACCAAACCAACACTATGAGACAAGGGATTCTGTTAGTTGTTGGACAATATTTAATTTTCCATTGCAGTGTGCATATTTCTGAAGTTTGTCATGCATGCATGACATTTTGGCTGAATTCATCACTTGGAGACTGTCACATAGCGAGGTGGTGGTGGACCCCAAAAAGCAGGCAGGAGGGAGGAGCAGGGTGTATTTGAATAAGTGTATTGATAAAACATAGAAAACTAAATCCTAAACAAAGTCCAAAGTATCAAACAAAAACCATGACTGAAGCTCAAAACTATCAATAACAGAAACATGACCAAAAACATGAAAAACAAACAAACATGACAGCAGCAAAGAGCAACAATGACCCGACGATGAGTGGTTGGGCTGGGAGTCCTTTTATGCTACTATTTACATAATGACCAACAGGTGTGCAGCTGCAGAGGAAGCCCTACAGTGCCACCCGTTGGTCCCAAACCAAATCATGACAGAGACAAAGTCATGAGCAAGACGAGGAATAATCCGACAGAGATTTGGCAACTTGGAAATCCTGAAATACTGTCCATGACTGATTATGATTGGCAGCGGGTATGCAGACTGGAGGGAAGGTCCTCTTCTTCCACCTGATAGTGTTTCAACACTGTTTAGTCCAGCAGAAGCTTCCTTCATGACTAAAGAGCTGAAATTATTATATTTAATAACATGTAGTAAGGGGCAACCCATTTTAATGTAAAATTAATTAAGTTAAATAAAATTATTAAATTTAAATTTAATTAAAAAAACTGAAAATTGCAAGAAAAATGACAGCACACTACTGCTACTGCATATACAATTAATACGGGATTCTCGATGATGACTGTTTGCGTCTCCCTTCAGGGCTTGTGTTCGACTGTAGGAGGTTCCTCAACACTGCATTTGCAGTCCATTGGCCAATGTTTCATCTACAAATATTTACAGCTAAAATACAGTTCAGACTTGAGGGAGGAGATAAATTGTGTGGGAAGGAGAGGTGGTTGGCTGCTGTGTTATCATCGTCCAGGAGCGGGGAGGAGGGATTACATGCCCAGTCAGTCCGACGGAACATCCTGCAAGCACATTTGAGATTCTGCACAGAACTCAACGCAGACCCACAAGACCGCCACCCATGCTTGCCAAAAGGAATGCAGCCCGTTTCCATTTTCACGCTGGTGAAAAGTTGCGTTGAAGTGGTGTAGCGGCCACCTCCGTCGTTTTTTTGGGCAGCAATATTGCTCGGACCGAACTTACAGGTCGTTTTTTGGGACTGTTGGACTTATGTGTTTATGTTTGAGCGCACGGCGGTGGGACATCCGGAATGGGGAATCCGTAGACGGAGACTCGCACGCACGCAGGCACAAGATGGACCTGAAGGGAACGAAATTTGGAAAGTATGGTTTCTTTTGTGTTTTTTTTTTTTTAAATAGAATTGGAATGGAACAGTTGCGGTGCACCGAGGCGCACTGACGCGCACGGTCCGATTCTTTGAGTGTACGTGCTTTCGCGAGTGTGCGTGTGAATGGCAGCATCTCATTCGGTGACCGAACTTTTTTTTATTTTTTGCAGAACTTTTTCTTTGCTCGATGTTGCAGTTCAAAATGTGTAGGATTCCATTACAGTTTAATACCCAGTAATAATATTTTTAACCTGCCATTTTGGGCAGCGGTGGTTTAAGTATTGTCAGGACTGGAGTTGAAATACAGTTACTTTCATAAGAAAATAACTAAGTCACTAACTAAATACATTGCAAAACAGTACGGATTCAACTCCGTACTAACAGAATTAAGTGCAAACGTAAAAAGTAAAACATTTTTTTACTGTCAGTTACTGTACCTGTTTTGATAATTTGGTGCAACAAAAAACAGTTTCCCATTTATTTTGACTGATAGGGTTCGTACTGAGAAAACGGGAGGGGGGGGCAGTTACGGCTCCAGGATTTTTTTTTCTCTCTTCATGGGCTAAACGGGGGGCTTGACTGTTTCATAGTGGGGGGCTAAGAAAATAATATCGAAATATATTTTAGAATATCAAATAAAATGGTGGAGAGGCTTAACTGGAGCTACACGGATTTCTGACGCTGTTATAGCCCTCCCGAGCACCAACCCTGGGCGGGGGCATGGGAGAAATCATATTACAAATCTCATGTTGTTGTTTAAGAGCTATAACTAACGTTAACACCATACTCACAGTGAAGCAATGTAGTGGCACTGTCATATATGTGTTTCTTCAGAACACATCCCGAATAAAAGGGCGTGCACACCTGCGCAACCACATTATCTCAGTATATTTTTACTCCCTACTTTTGAAAACATTTCATTTTTGTTCAATTGAATTGTACAGGTTAAAGGTGACATGAAATGATTGAACTTAGTCTCATTTTGGTTTTTCCCCACAGAAACATGACATTTGAACAGGGGTGTGTAGACTTTATACTCACTGTAGGAATTGGATTTTAACTGTACTATGTGGACTGGGAAGGCACTGCGACAACGTGAGAAGAATGGATGCAACATGTAGAAAATAACATCGGAAAAGCTGAATATTACATATAATAATTATCAAACAGACGCACGCGCAGAGATGGGCTTGTACACATGCATGGGAGATGGTGATACTGTAATCGTGAGAACCAGCGTTTGAGTCCCAGTGGAAATGAACTTGAGCATTACTGGAAAAAGGAATCACTCTGAACACACACACACACACACACACACACACACACACACACACACACACACACACACACACACACACACACACACACACGCACGCATGCACACACAGCTTAAATGTAACTGATCCTATTAATGTATGGAATGTGCTGAAATGGGCTATTTTAGCCAAACTCTTACTTTTTGTGAGAATCAAACACTCATACATACACAGAATCACACATACATGTGTGTACCGTATGTGTGTGTGTGTGTGTGCGCGCGCATGACCGAAAGGACAGTGTGTGCCCAAGCCAGAGAATAGTCGGGCTGATGATGACAATGTCTCCTCTGATCAGTCTTCCCTTCCCTTCAGTCCAACTACACAAACACACTCAGATGCACAATTCCGTCAGAAGCAATTAGGGGACATTGCAGTGCAACACTCACGTCCATTGAGAGCCTCACAACAGTGCCCAGAAAAACACGACCGAGCATAACTCACCGAGCTCCCTGGGAAACCCAAAGGCCATATATTAGTTTTCTTTATCTTGGCCACCCTGATGACACAGGTTAATATTTGGTTTCTTCAAAGTAAGACCCACTCATGTGTCACCCGCCTTTCAATAAAGGTGCCAGAGAGTTTGCGTTGCAATGACAAATTGGCAGGAAGGTGTTGGGAAAACATCCTAAGCACACTCCTCGAGACATTTTTTCTTCTTTCTGCTATGTTCATCGTACTGGTGTGATGCAAGAGGGATTTTGGTGTTTCATACGAGAATTGAACGGCCTCCACGTTCTGTAGAAGAAATGGTTAAACCAAACAGATGCAAGAAGATGCATGATTGCTGGCATGTTTGTGCGCATGGAAGTGCTCTCAATGTGTAATTAAGTAACACAGTTGACTGACCCACACAGACGCACCTGTGGCCCAGGGTAAAGCTTGCTGTGCACCCCCGCATGTGTGTGTGTGTGTGTGTGTGTGTGTGTGTGTGTGCGCGCGTTTTCATCCCGCTGTATTCTTCGTGGGATTTATATTGGGTTAATTATGCATGGTTAAATAACGCAGTTTTTCCCAATATGAAAATTTTGATGAAATTTTGTGAAGATCGCATTTATGACATCACAGAGGATCTGGAGATCTATTTATTAATATGGATTTACAATTTATATCTTTTTTTTTTCAGGTGAACGGTTGCCATAAAAAAAAAAAACAGAATGTATAACAATGTATTGTACTGAGGGAACATTTTCATATTTCCACGATGTCGGAAGGTAGCGGTGTCCTGTTTAAAAATGACAACACAGTCCGTGAACGGTTGGCATAAAAAAAAAATCATAGAATGTGTAACAATGTATTGTACTGATGGAACATTTTCATATTTCCACGATGTCGGAAGGTAGCGGTGTCCTGTTTAAAAATGACAACACAGTCTTCCAAAATTCCGGCAACGTGATGAGGATTAAGCAGCATTTAAATCCTGCAAGAATGAGCCCAACACTCCCAAATGCACACGCACGCACAGGTTTATAAAATACCAAAGTAATGAGCTCACTAATGATGCCATCAACTCTCCGCTCCCTGACGAACAAACATGTTCCTTTTCTGTTGGCAGGTTCATGAATTGCAGGGTGCCATCCAACAAGCGATACCAGCCGACTGATTATGAACATGCTGCTAACTGTGCCACGCATGGGGTGAGTCATACAAAAAAACAACATGAATTCTGTAAATATGCAGGGTGGAGTTGCCAATCATTGCGTCGTCCATGACAACTCTATTTGCGCCGAGTGACGTCAGTTGAGTGAAAGCCCTGAAAAAGATGCAGAGGATTGAGGCAGAACAGTGCGGATTTGGGGCTCTCTGCTGGGGACAGTGGGCCGTAATCCGCCATTCGGCCTGTAGCGTTCCCTAATCTGCTGTAATCTCCCGACGCTTTGGGCCTCGGAGGGAGAGCGAGTGAATGAAAGATGGAAGAGAGCAGGGGAGAAAGCCTGACACAACAAGTGAAAAGCGAGCCGCGCGTCGCAAGCACGAACACGCATGTTCACCTTGTGTAAAGCGCGGAGTCACTCGGCAGAGGCGGCGGCTGTGCGAGGAGAAGGGCAGGAATGTGAACAATGTCAGGAAAGCGTTTAAAGAAGACCGAGAGGCAGACACAGAAATGTTTGCGCGCCGAACGAAGTGAAGGAAAAAAAAAACCAAACAAACCCCAGGACAACAGAAAAATGGGTTTGCAAAGTTTTTTTGTATGGCTGCGGGCCTTTAGTGACAAGCATGGTATGGTATTGTTTTACTTTATATCGTACCGGTAAAACAAAATCACTCAAACAGTTTGAAATGTGATTCCCTAGTAAGACATACACTGCTCGTTTGTCATGATTTGGTTTGGGACCAACAGGTGGCACTGTAGGGCTTCCCCTGCATCTGCACACCTGTTGGTCGTTATGTAGTTATTAGTGCTTTAAAAGGACTCCCAGCCCGGCAGGTTTAATGTTTTGTCATTCTAGTGCAGACAAAGAGCATACGAGTACATGGACCACAAGATGAATATCAAGGATATCGAATAAATACTCCAGCAGCATCGCTCGGGTGCCTCATCATAATATTTCTTGTAAAAATGCCTCTAATGTCTTCACATGGTACATTGAGTTACCTTCTGTATAAAATGCACAATAGAAATCACGATGCCTTGCCTTGCCGTGACAGTTCTGGATCCTACCGAGCATGCTGGGTGGTTCCTTGCTGTACTTCCTGTCGGGGGACCAATGGCATCGTGTCGCTGCTTGGCTTTATGGCAGCGGACTCACTGGCCTCTTTGTCACCTCGACGCTCTTCCATGCAGCAGCCTGGAAAATCAGCCACCTCAGGTGTGTGGGTGTTTGGTATTCACATCTGGCATCACATGCCAGATGTGAATGTTTGTGCTCGCAGTCACACACACACACACATATACACACACACACGGTTTGTTCATTATATTAACATACATTAATTATGACATCGCCGGAGGAGTTGGGCTACACAACAGATGTGACCTGGTTATAAAAATATTGAGCATCACTTTCACGAAACACATCAGACGAGAAACGTGACGAGGAATGTCAGTTTGTTGAAAATGTGTCAGCGCTGATGGATGGTGTCAATGAGCTCGATTAAATTAAGAATGTCAGAACCTTCCATCTATCCATCCATTTTCGAATCCGCTTTATCCTCCCGCTTTTTTTTTTTTTATCCTTCTTTTTCATTGTCTTTTGCAGGAAAGTGGAGCAACTTTTCCACATGTGTGACCGAATGGCCATCTACTTCTTCATAGCGGCCTCCTACTCTCCCTGGTCGGTTTGTCGATGAGCGAAGTAACACAATGATGCGATGTGACGGGTGACTGAGGTCACGGCGGAGGCGCTGTGACGTTTGCGTGACGTGTTGTGGACAGGTTGATGCTGAGGGAGCTGGGCCCGTGGGCGTGCCACATGCGCTGGCTGATCTGGGTCATGGCTTGTTCCGGATCCTTCTACGTCTTCTTTTTCCATGAGAGGTAACCTCATCTCGCTTTGAGTCCCCGTCTCGTACAGTAGTGTGGCTGAAACCAAACGCTTTCAGGTGTTTGGAGTCATACACACACACAGCACCATTGTTTGGACAGAATTGGAGGCAGCGAATAACAGCGGCATTGTCCTTTGGTGGTTTCTCTTGGCAGGTATAAGCTGGTGGAGTTGCTGGGATATGTCGCCATGGGGGCTGTTCCTGCTCTGGTTATTCTGTCTATGGTGAGTAGCTTGAAGCGTTAGATTTTATTTTATATTGTCTGTCTTACGGAAGCACAATATTAGCATGAGGCTCTTAATATGACGCAGCAAAATTACAGAATAACTTTCTGACAGTGTCTGTCAAAACTAAGCATCTTATCTTTGTCATGATTTTTTTTTTTAATTTATTGATAAAGCTCTTGTATGGGAACGCAAAAGATTGTGGAGGTATACCTAATGTTGTGCCGGTTGCGTTGGTATATTACCGCTTAGGGATTATGATATGGGTCAGCGATTCCCAAAATTTTGGTGCACAATCTGATGGAAGCCAATACGATAACGTCTCTTTCCTGTTTGTCTGCTACACTAAAAGAGCTGAATCCAAAATTTAATAAAAATAATCCCGCAGGTGGACCACGCAGGCGTGTGTGAACTTGCCATGGGGGGATTCTTCTACGTGGTGGGCGTGGCCTTCTTCAAGAGTGATGGCTTTGTCCCATTCGCCCACGCCATTTGGCATCTTTTCGTGGCAGCCGGAGCAGGCATTCACTACTACGCCATCTGGAGGTATCTCTACTTGCCTCGGCCCCTGCCGGAGACCTCCAGGTGATGGTGAGCCGTTCTCACGCTGAGTTACTGGCTGAGAAAACACAAGTGCAGTGGTGAAAATAAAAGTGGTCTGAAATAAATAGCTCGCATGCCATTTGAGAAGTCAGAGATGATAGAACCTGACCGCTTTCAAATCGTCCTCAATGATGATGAAACACAGCGACTTTAACATGAATCACTAATTCTGTTTTTATGAATTATTTTTGGAAGGACAAATCCGAGGTAGCGCGAATGTAATTTTGTTTCATGACCTCATAGGTACAGCATCACTTTGGAAACAGGTTCAGATGACCAATGTTTGGTCAAAGAGAGACACTCGGGCAAATATTTGTGGATACATTTCTTATTAATGTTATACTGGTCGAGTCTAGGTCGTTTTAAGGTGAAATAAATTTTCTTGCACTTTGTATCCTTACCACTAATAATGTGCCAAAATTCATCTCGTTCAAGCTTTTGTTTATTTGTAATAGCTGATTAAAATCAAATGTGGAGACTCAAGCCCACACTTTGTGATTAGAATTCACTCGCTCAGTTGAGTTTGCGTAACAATGTTCATTTGAAGTAGTAATTCTTAAAAAATAAAAATCCAATGAGTCACAATTGATACCGTTTGAATTCATGAAGATGATAATTTGGTGTTCTTGTTGTATTTTACTTTTTGGTAAAGCTGTAAGCACTTTCTACAAGTCAATGTCTGTATTTCGAGTACTCAAAACATTATGCAAACACCTCACCTAACTGGCCAACAGGCTCTGGAGACTTGGGAAATATCCATTTATTTTTTACAGAAATCAGATGATCTATTTTGTAAATTTTTATTTCTGTCACGATAAAAACAAAAATAAAGAAGCGATAATATATTACAAGTGATTCTTGAGCGTCTTTTGTCATTGGTTCATCGTCACAGTTCTCCATCAATTAAGCGATGTATTTACAAAAAGTGCAAAAATCAACCACGTTCGCACGAATGCTGAGGCGGAACAGCGGTGCGTTTATTTAGCACATCAGGCAAAGATTCTGGGTTTGAATTTTGGCTGGGTACTTTGTATGTGGCATTTGCATTTTCTGTCCATGATCACAACGCCGTTGCTTCCGCATTCCATATCATCCACAGACTTTAAATTGTCCAAAGGTATGATGGTGAACGGTCGTGCCCTGCGACTGGCTGGTGACCTCGGGATTGGCCCCAGCTCTCCCATCATCTTGAACAGTAGGAATGGAACAGAAAATGGATGGCCGCCGATGTTTCTTTGTTTACGTGCTCGTGTGGTGTGACGCCGAAGTAGGTGCGTGTTGAGCATGTGACGCGTGCGCCTGTGTGAGTCTGGTGAGCGCTCGCAGTTGGAGCGGCATGGCCACGTTGGTGTCTTGGTGCCACCGGGGTGCGGTGACGTGCGCCGGCGGGTTCAGGACACTCTGAGCCACACCGGGCGTCTTCAGAAGGGCGCACAGCTCCTCCCCGAGAGTTACGATGGAAACAAGGTCCTCTTCATCATCGCACCAGGAAACAGTCCCTCCGCTGGAGACGTTTCTCAGCTTGGAGAGGAACAGCGACACCCTACGTTGGACACATAAAACATGAGCAGTCCATGTGCAATTTAAGATTCAAATCGTAGTGTCCCCCCAACGCCACCTGGGTATCAGGTCATGTGATCGTGACGCCAGCTTAGCGAGGGCGCTCATGAGAGTGGTGATGACGCGGGGGGCAGGGCAGCCAACTCCAGGGAGCGGGGCAGATGATGTAATTTCAAACAGCACTGCCTCCAAGGTCTCGAAACATGAAGTGATGAGCCTCACGGAGCAGCGAGAATCATATGACACAGAAAGGTACTCCCCGAGCACCAACACCTGAAGACAGATGCATTTGAAAACAACAATATTTTTATATTTGAATTGGAAAGAAAATACTTGACCTGAACAAAAGTATTGGGACAACTATCAGACAGCGAAAACAGAAGAAATTGCTAAAATGGCTTTCGGTTGTAAAATGGCTTTAGGTGCTGCAGTATCAGTCCGAATTGACGACGATCCATTTCATTCTTCTCACCACATGTGTGTAGATTTCTTGTTTGCTGTAAACATTGGACGTCGCTCCGGCGAACTCCAGCAGCTCGTGGGATTGGTCAATGACCAAAGAGGGGTGGAGTTTGCACAGTTTCGTCAGCTGGCGGCTGAACACTCTGCACGGACAATGCGCCCATGGTGAAACATGCAAATCTCCATGACAGACAACGGATTAGCACTTTGCTCTCATTGTGTGCGTTGAGTTGTACCTGTGGATCTCTGCAATGTATTTAGGGATGTTGAGGAGGAGGCTGCTTCTCTCCAGCAGCACCAAAAGCACTTGGCCTAATAGTGTCCTATCGGCAACCTAAAAAAAAATAAGCCAACAAAAATCAGGTGTGCCACAGCAAATTATCCCATTTTACCTCATTGGTCCGCAAATTTTCTTTTGGTATGGCGACGATGAATTCTTTTCAACTAGACTCAACTCAGCTGTTCAAGAGACTTTTTTCAATTGCTGTGAGTATATCAGGTTCAAGTAAACATGTGAATACGTTAACACCAGATCATCATTTCAGTATATTGGCTCTACTTTTTGGGACATATTTGTGTGATGTGCGATTTGTGTCATACAAAAGGTGCCTTAGCCCTCAAAAGGGAAAACAATGCTCCAGATCAATTATTTTCCTCACTGTGATGACCGTGTTGAAGAAAATGTGCAGCAAAATGGGGACAGTCTGGGCGCACTGAATAACTCTTGGCCAATCGACAGCTTCCGATAACAGCTCAAGGAGCGTGCTCAGTCGGTCAATTGTGTCACCTGTGGAAAATAACACCAGTGTCGTCGTTTTAGCAAATACACCGTTGGACGTAGCCTGAATCGTGTTGTCAACACTCATCCCCACCCACAATATTTTGGGTAAAAACATCGTGTGTTTACCTGTGCCTGCTTCACCTCGAAGTAGGAAAAGGAACAGCCCTCGGAAAGATGGATTTCGGAATGCATCCATCGATGCGAGGCTGCGCCCTCCCGAATCAGAAATGGGCAGGCACATTGATCTGCAACATTCGTGGGCGGGAGTTGGAAAAAAAAACAAATGTGTTGCGACACAACATTTGAGCAATTGTTTTTTTTCCAGATCTGGCAAATGTGCACCTGAGTTGCAAGAGCAGGGTAGCAGAAAGACACGGGAGGTCCAACAAAGTATGCAGCAGTTCCAGTGAAGTACCAGATGTCACCATAGAGGGCAGCAGATCAACAAAGTCATCAATCACTGCAGGGCTGTCCCACGCTAAGAACTGGAGAGACACGAGAAATTCCGCCAAGTATGTATTTCTAAGTTTGTGTCGCAGCCTTTCGGCCCCATTTATTTTATTTTTTTTACCTTGAGAAGATTTGGGAAGTAACGTGTGTACTGGGGAACTCGGAGTTGCACGTTCTCGAGGTTGAGTCGCAAGAAGCGCAGAAGCTCGTGTGCCAGGAAAGGGTCGTTAAAGAGCTCAGTGGGGAAACGACCAAACACTAGGTTCCATACGCAGTCACACTCTACAGCAGCAAGTTCACCTAAAAAGGGGCAAGAAAAGACATGTATTCATGTTTGAGTGGAGGTACCTCGGTACACATGCCGAAAATTCTGCTTTTTGGGAGAAATTTCATGACGAACCTAAATACAACTATGGCCTTTAAAAGTGAATTTAATTTGACCTCTAAGCTTTTCAATGTCCAACTTCACAACTGGCATTCCATGAATTAACCAATATTTTCAAGGACATCTACTTCTCTGCCAGTTATTAGATGGTGTCTCGGGATGTCAGAGATTTGGCGTGCGTTTTTACCGTGTGGTGGCGGTGTGACACAATGTAAACAACCAAATAATCCAAACAGAGGACAACAATATTGCACCATATTTGTGTTATTTTTTTTTTCTGCCCGGCATGTGACTGAAGGCGAGTTTCCTTTACGACAAGCCACATTCTATTTTTGCTGTCGCGTGGAAGACTCTCTTATCAGCTAATCAACACACTGCAGGCACTGTGACAAAAGAGGGCCAAAAACTGGTTCTACAGATTGGCTATTTTGAGATTCTTCACTTTGGTAATGGAAATGTAACAAAAACTACATGCACAAAAGCAAAAAGATCCGAACAAATCAAGTAAAGTATCGGTCTACAATCTACTGCAAAAAGGACACTTCAAGGTGTGTGAATGGTTATTAATTACAGTGGTTGGGCCATTTAGAAGAGCAGTATGTGTCCATATGACCGTAATGTTGTGTTTATACGTGCCATGATTAAGATAGAACTGTGCCACAGGAAGCAGGACTCTGGCGAATGTCAAGTCTGAGCTGAGACGACCAAAAAGCGCCTTGATGCACGGGAACACCCGGTAGACAAAGGATGCATCCTCGAGGCACACGCAGTCCAGGATACACACCGCTTCCACCAGACACTGAGGGAGGAAACGAATACAATACACTCGTGAAATTCGTTTCACAAAATGGCAGGCATGATTTTACTGTTATATTTTCTCGTGACCAACAATGCTAGTCGAGCAACGGGTGTCTTTGCTGTGTTCTGGAGCTGCAGTGTGGTTTGCCCCACTTAAGTTTTAGAAGCTAACATTGGCCTCTTGTGCACTTGATGTATAATTCCAAATAGTTATTGATGACGAGAAGAACAAATACCATTCATCTATACGTGACAGTTGTAATCAAGCTGTCTTTTATATTAGCATTTCAGAGTGGTCAAATGCGCTTTTAATTTGTTGTTGTTTTTGGTGCCTCACAACTTTTCTCCATCTAAGCCCCTCCCCATGTCAACCCGACAGTGTGAGTGAAAAAGGCAAACAGAAATGGGCTCACGGCTTTCTGTAGCTCTGTATCTGTCTTCTTCTGCGCTTCTGAGAGAGGAAAAAAAAAAAAAGACGGAATATCAAATGTGACGGCTGTCCACGCTTATACACAGTGTCTACTAAAAAATGGCTGTGGAAGGTGAAGCAGGGGAGCAATGCACACCCACAATTGATCTACGTTTTAAAATGACAGTGGAACACAACATACTGCGATCACTCTGTTCAATGAGGCGCTGGCAGTACTGGAAGGCCTTCTCTCTGAGGCGCTCCTTCGGAGGCAGCAGGCGGCCGGTGGACGATGTGACGGAAACCATGGAAACCACAGACCCGTCTATCTCCGACCTGTCATCTGTAACACAGCGGATCAGAAATTGAGGTCATTACAAATGGCCACACAGTTTTGCACGGTTGCCACGTCAGCGAGTTCATTGGAATAAGAAAGCGCAATCAGAAGAGGAGTTTGCAATTATATCAAGTGAAAATATCGGAGTTGTCTGCCCATGCTGATTTTAGGGAAATTCAAATTTATGAAGCTATGAGTTATGTGTTGCTGAGGAGAAATGTGAAAGAGATGGTCTTATGGGCCCATCTCAATAAATTTGACGTTTGTAGAAAACTTGTTTATATCAGTAGCTCCGTTCAAAATGTGTGGAATTATACAAAATAGCATTTTTACAGGTCATAAGTCGATGGAAATGAAAAGAAACAAAATATAGACGAGATTAGTGAAAAGAAATTCATGATTGTTGACATTCCATCCAAAAGCAAACCTGAGAGAGTGGGAAGCACAGATGTTACAAGTAAGTGTTTCTGGTGAGATCATGCTTTAGATCAAGGGCCGAAAGCGGAATTACTTGTAAGAATATAATTGATTTGGCTTCTTTGACGCACATGCGGTGGGTGGGGTTGGGGTGTGGGTCAAATTCACCTCTTACCGTTCGAAAATGAGTGAGAGAGGGAGAGACTTAGCTGTAACCTGTTGGCTGAAGATGATAAAAACACAGAGCAGGTCATCTGAAATGGGCAAGGTGAAATTGTTTGAGGTGTTTAAGTCCTGATATCACACACAACTGGTAGTTGGGACTGAAAGGCATCGTTATTGGGTAATTAAAGGCTAAACCCAACCTCCCGATAAATTATATTTTAATATAAAGTGGAAGTGGAGCAAACATTTGCGATTCCGGCCAACAACACTGACCGTAGTTTGGCTACCCCTGACTTCAAGTGAACAGTTATGAATAAAGGCTGACTTCATACCAGTGTCCGCTACCGTGCCGCCGGGCACAAAGTGGAATGTGAGGAGCCAATGTCGTAGCATGGAAAAGGAGTAAACGTTCATCCACTGGTCTTCAGTGAAACCTTGACCGACACACAGCACTGTGAAGAAATCTCCCGACACCGTCCCATCCAGCTCTGCGGTAGGCAGCGGCTAACGGAACGCAGGTCACGAAAGATATTTGACAAAATACAAAAGAGATACTTTACTGATATGAGTTAAATGCATACCTGACGGGACCTGGACCCTGTAAAGAATCCTCCAGAGGATGCCCCGCCCCCTTGCGTGGTGCTCGCATAGCGCAGCCAGTCGATGAGCTTTTTACTAAGGATGATGATGTTATCTGAAGTGATTCACATGTCGGGAAAGCATGACTCACACGACTCAGACAACCAAATTTAGGTGAACAAAAGCTTTTTAAAACTACCAAGCTAAAGCAAAAAAAAAAAAAAAATGTTGTGAATGTTACCTTCAGTGAGGCTCTCAGGGCTGTATGTGAGGATGGTGTTGACAACTGGCAGGGTGTGAAGGAGCAGGTGAGTCGGCCCTTCTGAGGTTCGGTTGTCCAGATTGCGGAGGAGCTGAGTGCAGAGAGCTGACAGATCATCTCGGGATTCAGCCTGCTTGGAACAGAATGTGTTAAGTAATTGTGAAAACATAGATGTCATGTCTCCATACAGTGGTTATGTTTAACGTAAGGTCAGGAAAAACACAGATTCGAAGAATATCTGCTCATAGTATGAAATATGAGAAACTAGTGGTGGTATTGAGCAGTGGATTAAGTTGGGTGAGCGGCCGAATATGGTACTCGTTTGCAGTGTTTTGTTACATTCAGCCAAATAAGACATAAGCACACCTGAGAGAGCAACAGGGCAGTTGTGTGACTATTCAGTTGACTGTTGCCGTCCTGGCCATACTTCTGAGCAGTGAGGGGGAGGGTCTCTCTGAGGACAGCTGAGCTCAGCACTTGGAGCTGCTCCACAGGGGAAGAGAGGAGTAATCTTAGCCTCTTCTGAAGCTCAGGGGGCAACCTGCGGTTTAGAAAACACAGGATTCACAACCAAAAAAACTCAAGATCTCAATCATCACCACCTCTATCATCTGATTTTAAACGTCACCAAAAAAAAATAAAAATACTCAAGTCAAGTACATAGCCTACTAGGAAAAGCTACTTAAGTAGCGCTACGATGTATTTCTATTTTCTTACTTTCCGTCACTCTATTAAAACATGAGAGAGGGACTCGGATTAAAGTTTTAAAACACACTTACGTCCTAGTGTACTTAGTGGCAGAGACGATGAGGCGCAGTCTTTGCAAGGAATCAATAGTCTCATGACCATGTTCTTTCTCCTGGAGCAATTTGATTAATCTGCTGTAAAACTTCTGCAGCTCCGACTCCTGGATCTCCCTGAAAAGTGGAAACCCTCACCAATAAACTCGTTAGAGGCATTTTAGCTAGATGTTCCATACTGCAAATCACAGAATAAAGATGAATGCTGCTTCTCTATTACCGAAACAAAATAACGTGCACTTATGGATAAAGGTATGCGGAATAGATGTGACAGTGCCTTACCTTGCTTGCTTAATTAAGCTTTCGGAACCGTGAGAGTACATCGTTAACATGCTATTACTTCCGCCTGAAGTGGCATATAAACAGTACAGCACTGATCGAGTCCCGGCTGAAACGTAACTTTTACTTTGTAAGTTCCGCCTCTCCTAGACTGACAGTGACATCGGATGTCTTTATATCCATCACATGTAAAGAAAGTGTAATTAAAAACACATTAAATACTACTACTGCTACTATTACGACTATTGATAATAATAATAATAATCATAATAATAGTAATAATACTATTTTTGAAAGCTAATTTTCTTGAACGAAATCAGATTCGTCTCAGGCATTTGTTAATGAAAAAAAAGGAAGCGACAGTATTTCAATGTTGTGCCATATCCCACAGGCATGCTGACTGCAGAACATGCAGGTTTTTTAAGGAAGCATTCTGCCACTTCCGAAGTGGTTTCAGTCCTCGCTCCTGAATTTTTAACTGTGTGTGTGTGTGTGTGTGTGTGTGTGTGTGTGTGTGTGTGTGTGTGTGTGTGTGTGTGTGCCCCTCCTCTTTTACTTAGATTAGGTTATTATTCTGTTTACAAAGAGTCTCAATTTTGCTGCTTTGCCATTTTAGCAACAAAATCAACACAAATAAAAAATGTAGAAACAGAAGAAGAAGAAGAAGAAGAAGAAGAAGAAAAGAAAAAAAGCAGAAAGAAAAAGTAAAGACATAAGTCGCGGGAACACACCTCCCAATTAAATAATTAATATGATACTACTATTACTCACTTCGACTTTAAACGCTGCAGCTGCTGCTACTACCACTATTACAACCACTACTACTAATAAAAAAAATAATAATAATGATAATAATAATAATGACAATAATAATAATAATAATAATAATGAGTGAAGAAACGCTTTACAGGTAACAAAAACTCGAAAAACGATCGAGTAAAAATAGATATTATAACCCCACGTTTTAGGGAAGAAAAATGTGACCGAAACAAACATAAAATAATTAAAGGAAACGACATACAGTTCAGGTATGGTAGTCTCATTACGAAAACCCACGCCCCAACCGCACCCCACCCCCCTCTCTCTCTCTCTCTCTCTCTCTCTCTCTCTCTCTCTCTCTCTCTCTCTCTCTCTCCCTCTCTCTCTCTCTTATATATTCCACACGCTCTCAGTTCAAGACCTTTTTGGACGAACTCTGAGACAAAGTTGACTTTTTGAATCTTCTAGTGGGTAAACGGCATATGTGCCCTTTCAAAGACAACAACAACAGCAACACACAGTGGCACGCCTCGTCACTTTGAATTTCACCCGACTGTGCTGCCTGCTTATCGTCCACATCTCAGGTAAGACCAACTCTTGAATACTTTGACTACTGAACGTGTATGAGGCCGAATTTTTTTCTGTTCATGTTAATCGCAACCAACTCATTGTCTGGCTTGAACAACAAGTTATCAATACTGGAATTCAAACCAGTTCAAATCAAAATGAACACATTACCGTAATGCAGAGTATGAACAATCGCTTGTGGCGCCGGGATTGAATTTTGCGAGTGGAGGCTGGCCTGACCGCAGTGCCTGCTTGAAGGGTTGGGCAAAATATGCATGAATTTGACATTTTCTGCAAGACAAGAGCTTTACTTGCACAAACGAGTCAGGCCGAAAACACAAACAAGGACGCCCGTCCAGAGATTAGAATGCTCACGTTTGATTGACACTGTCATCGAGGTATTTTTTTTTACCCAAAATATATTTACAATTCGTCATTTCAGCGCATCATAAGTAAAGGCCTTGCTCATGTTGACACCCCAATTCAGCAACTAAAAAGGTGACCAAACTCTTGGAAATAGCTGGTGTAGCTTTTGCGTTCGGCATCCTTTGATGGCGCAGGTGTACTTTTGGGGCGAGAGTTGATTCAGAAGACATTTGCCAAAGATAGAGTATGATATGTGGAAAAATAAAAGTATAATCAAGTGGGATACTATTATACTTTTCTGCCACACTGACTATTCCCTTTGTAAACTGATATGCTGTTTCATGTTGGTAAAAACTGCCTTGTCTTTTCGAAACGACGCAGCCCTTACAAATATCCAAGTGCTCACACACTCCTCTCTTCTCCCCCCCTTGGACTCCATACACAGGGCCAGCATATCACATTTCTTAAAGCTTGGACAATGAAGTCTTTATGATGGCTCCCACACACCTGAACCATTTACATCTATGGCAGTCAAATTCCAGGCCACCATATGCCTGTGCATGACATGGATGTTTTGGGACAATAGTGAAAAGCTCATCTGTTAAAAATGACATAAAAAGTATGTCTAGAAGTAAGAACTGTCCTCCCCCACTGTTGCCTGAAGACAGCTGGGATAGGCTCCAGCACACCCGCGACCCGTGTGAGGATAAATGGATTAGAAAATGGATGGATGGATGGATAGATACTGTAAGGTCAGCGTGGAGTACTTGAAACCTTTCCTTCAGCTTGACGTCACTAATGCAGTCATTTTGGTTCGAATGGTAATTGTCGTGATTTCTCTTAACGATTTCCTCTAAATACTACTTACGGAAAAACACTTTCAGGTCCGGTAAAATTGTCGACTTGTTGAATTGTGTTATTGAGAAAATTTTATTATTAATTTCCTCATGCATTGGGAATGACTGTTTGTGATCGCTCTTCCTGCTTCCTGCCAAAAAAAAAAAAACAAGCTGGAACTTATTCTACATTGTTGGTGAATCATGTCTTATAAGCAACACTTGAAAACAAAATAGCTCAGTGGATGCCCATCTTAAGCACGAATGCCCTCAGCTGTTTCCTCTCAATGTTAAGGAACATTTTAGGAGAGTCCCATTCTGGGCTGGACGCCTTACCATATCTGAAACGTGGACATACACAGCGTAAATTCCAGATTCCATGACGTCCACTCACTTTTGAATCAAGGTGGTTTTCAAGTATTGTCAAGCATCATTAGTTATGCAGTGTACAGGTGGAACGAGCAACCCTGTGTAGCTACTGACAGGTCTGGTTGGTTTGTGTCATTCGTCGAGTCACTTCAAACTAGATCACGACACATATGATAAGCAAAGTATGTTGCCTTGTTTTTAGCACATGCATTCCGAGTCGACGGATGGTGGAAATGCGTTCTTCTTGATTTGTTTTAACAGTTTGAAACTCACATTACCACCGTCTAGAGGACATGAATGGTACAGCAATGATCCGCAACCTTGTTTGTTTTGTCACCAAAAATGAGTGTGGGAATGTGGCCCATTCATCAGATTCAGACACCACGATGGTCCCACACACACACAGCAATCATATTAATTCCGATAGTGCGCTCTGGCTGTCAATGTTATGCCCCATCCTTCCCCTTTTCGTCAACCTGACCTGCTGGTTAAATAAAATAAACATGGATTCCTGTTTGATCACGATATTTGTCAAACAAGCAATCCATGAAGCACTCCTGACCCAGAAGTGCTCACAATGTTGAGGGAGATTTGATCGGTGACCTATTCTGCCTATTCAGGTGTATTGTCATGCCACTCGCAATGCAACCAGCCAAGTTCTGCCAGACGCAAAAAGGTGTGACTGGCACTCTGATGAAAAAAAAAGGAAATGCAAAGTTTCGTGTGACCTTGCCGAAACCTGGTCCTTCTTCTGAGTTTATTTCTGACACCGTCACTGCAAATCTCCTCACAAAAGATGCTTATGAAAGTGAAACGTGTAAATGACTCTGAACTCCCCCTCAAATGAGGCGTCTACTCACATCTGGCTTGGCAAGGAGGAAGCAAAGGATAATTTTCTCAACAACAAACTCTAAAATAAGAGAATAGAGAAGAGGAAGCAAATATGTGGTTTCTGCAGAGGTGTGTGCACGAGTGCACGGGCGTGTGAGTGTACGTGTGCGTTGGTCTGTGCTTTTGTGGTTTCATTATCGGCGTCAAATCTTGGCAGCGCGCGTTGTGGTCTATGATATTTTTCTTTTCACCCCCCTCAGGCTACGTTTTAAATGTAACTTATCATTGATTTAGCGCGATATCGGAAATTGGGCGGCACCATGAGATTGCAGTAGCCTTGCTCCATTAACCCCTTAAAATGTTTGATTCACAGTTTCATCGTGACCTTGCCACTTTGGAATGTGCCTTTACTGCCATTGCTACTGTATTTATCGTCGAAGAGCCGTCACGCTGCATCACTTGCAAAAGCATTGTAGATCATTATTATGGCGCGACTGGACATTTTATATTGCTTGATGACTCTCTGTGTCATTTGCACGATTGGATCTGTATTTCCACACGGTGGGAGACGTTATGTTGTATAGTGGCTTCTTTGGTGTCGTACTCAAGTGGCTCCCAGCTACTACGGAAAAATTCCCCGTCTGTTTTAACACCCTTGGCCGATAAAGGTGATTCTAAATTCTCGATACTGATGACATGTTGTCCACCCCCAGGGTGTAGTAGCAATACTGTATTCGGAAATGTTATACTTGAACAAACATGGCGGTTGTATGCAAACATGACAGTTTACATGCATGGCAACATCAGCCAGACTTTATTTGTTTAACATTTACAGCTACATCATGCAAATGCTGACGGACTGCCACGGTGCGTATTTGTGTCTGGCTTGGATGAAAAGGATAAAATGTTGGTTGGAGTAGAGAGCGAATATAAATGTGAAATGGAAAGATGTGCGTTGGTCAATTCTTGTGTGGGAAAACAGTTTCTGTTGTCACTATAAAGTCATACATCAGGAAGCCTAACATACCTGTGTCGCCTATACGATCTAGTTAAAGCTTTCATATCTGTCATGTAGCACACCGGGTTATGCTAATGATCACATTTGTGTTATGTCCTCATTGTTAGCTTTCCCACGGAAGTCACGTCGCCGTTTATTGCCGAGCTTGTTTGCGTTGCTGCACTGTTAGTCACAGCCCTTTTGCTATTCTCTATCTATACGGACACTGTGATGGTGCAGTCTCTTTTTTTCATGTGAAGAAAAAGCACTTCGACACAGAAAATATGTACAACTTGACTGGAGACGTTGGTGTAAGGACTAAAAAAAAAAAAAAATCATCATTTGTCGATCCCAAAACATAAAAACTATGGCGTGTCGTTTTGAGTCCCTCTGCAATCGTTTCCTGGCTTTGTTTGACTGTAACTGACTTGCCAACCGCTGCGCTTTAAAAAGGGGTCTTGTCTTTTCAGGGCGCATGAGATGGAAAACG